AGCGTTGCATCTTGGGGCGAAAGAAAGACAAATTTTTGTCGTTCCTTTAGGACTAGGTTAGTGCTCCATCACATTCCAATTGGCGATAACCATTGCAAACGGCGCGTTGAGAGATTCCACCCAGCCAGCCACCCCAGCTTCTAGCGCTCTTAGCCAAGAGATTAAAGCGTCAGGGGTCAGCGCTGGAGCTGTAAGGGGCAGACGCACCGCGAGAGAGAATGGCGTGAACGATTGGCCTCTTTACTGAGAGAGAAGAGACTTGGCGTTATTGATGGGTTCTAGACCCCCACAACCTTAAAAGAAACAACCTTAAAGCAGCAAAGTCGGTATCACGAGGTAAGGGGCAGCACCACGCCGTTGCGAGACTATTGACGATAATTCAACGTGCTAGATCACCCGACTCTTTACCTTTGTAACCGCATGCAGACAGACTTGTTTATCTGGCGCTGCTGTCGCTGCCGCTGCCTCTGCCTCTGCCGCCTGTCTCACGCTCCTCACACAGTCTTCTCCACCAAAGTGACACCCTGACATGGTCCTCTTTCTGTGGACTGTGGAACCCTGCGAGGGTCATGCCAGCTTTTGCTTTGCCGATCAGGGGCATCCGTAGGGCAATTGCAGGCCTGTAGACTCCAGAAGACTTACGCGTACTGTTACCTCATATACTCCTCACAGTAGATCTTTTTCATCGTTTCAAAGTGATCGTCTGTCCGTCTGTCTCCCTCTCGGCTCGCGCAAACGCAAAACGCAAGTCAAGTCCCTCCTTACGCTTGTCTTGAACTTTCCATTGTTTATTGTCTCAGTTTCTTTTTCTTGTTTCTGGCTCTTTGCATTCCAAGAGTCTGTCTCTCGCTCCCTTGAACAAAACTCCACCAACGTCAACGTCCATCGCCATTTTGGATTCTTGTCCTTCAGATGGTTTCATCTTCAACATAACGAATTCTTTTTCCGTTTTTCTCTTTTTTCGTCATTCGCTCGCCGCGCTAGGCGCCACAAACAATCGTTACTCATCATCACTAAAAATAAATCGTCACAATGGGCGCAGCACTCCCAACTTCTGGTGTTGCGCTTAACCGGGTGCTGGCCCTCGGCTTGACGCTGGTCGTCATCTTAGGCATCGCCATCAACCAGCTTCAACTGAGCGATGATCCGTATCGCTGTAAGGCTCTGCTTAATGATGGAACCTGGTTGAATACTCCTGCAGAGAATGGAAGCAGAGCGCCTTTCACAAACTGGCAGCCTCCCGGATGTATGATTCACAAGTACAAGAAGGAGGAGATTGAGGAGTGCATGGAGGGTCGACACATGCTTTTTGTCGGTGACTCTACGACTCGACAGGTCTTTTATGGCATGGCTCGTCTGGTAAGTCGATGAAGATTTAATTGTAGATGTGTTGTCGAATAATTTGGTCAATGTTCAATTGCATGACCAGCAGTCGCTAACACCACGACAGCTCGACGCAGAGAAAGCCGAGGAAGTACGAGCAAACAGCAAGAAGCACGAAAGCCACGATGTAGAATTCGGTGGCATTCGACTCAAGGAAATCTGGGATCCATTCGGCAACGACAGCGCCATCGCCCGCAATGAACTCACCCTCTACCACGAAGAGAGGATCAACGAGGTCCCTGTCGAGGAGCAAAAAGGTCCCGCTCTGGCCTTCATGGGAATGGGAGTTTGGTTCGCCGCCCGCTTCGAGAAGGAAGAGTCTATTCCCATGTTCAAGGCCGCCTTCAACAACATGTCCGAACTCGCTTCCAACATGGACTTTGAGCCTTTCGGTAGCCGACCCATGGATCCTCGCGACGGAATTGGCAATGAAGTGTTCTGGGCGCCAATTGCCCCGCCCTTCTACGACATGCTCCCCGATTACCGCAAGACTGGTGTCGCTTCGCAACCCGGCGAGGTCGAGGAGATTGACGAGTTCCTTAAGACACAGGAACAAGAGTCTGGTATTCCCATGTTGTGGTCTTTCCCCGCTTTGTCGTATGACCAGCAGGATGCTATCGGCGATCACGAGAATGGCTTCCATGTTACCGACAGCGTTGCTGAGATGAAGGCCCAGATCCTTCTCAACCTTCGATGCAATGCCAAGCTCGATATCCAGAAGTCTTATCCTTATGACCGCACTTGCTGCACTGACTATGGCCAGAAGTCTTTCGTCCAGATTATCCTCGTTACTCTCGGTATTCTTTACGTCGGCGGTGCAGCCATCACCGAGATTCTTGCTCTTCGATCTGGCGAGGCTCCCAAGTGGGCCATCTTCAACCTCGATGTCGCTACCTTCGTTACCGGTCTGCTTGCGTGCTACTGGGCCGACCGAACACAGTCTTTCGCCAAGGGCTCCAAGGAGTACAGCATGTTCGACTTTAACCTCATGTCCGCTCTCTGCTTCATAGTCGGCTTCGCCTTCATGACCAAGTCCAAGCCTCCTCCTCCTCGACCTGGCACCGCTCCCGCTGCTACCCCCACGACTCTTGACGATGCGAAGCCTTTGTCCCGCGACCAGACTGATGAGTGGAAGGGATGGATGCAGGCACTCATCCTCGTGTATCACTGGACTGGTGCTTCGCGTGACCTCAACATCTATGTCGGTATCCGTCTTCTCGTTGCCGCCTATCTCTTCCAAACTGGTTTCGGTCATGGGGTTTTCTTCAGCTCCAAGAAGGACTTCTCCTTCAAGCGTGTCGCCGCCGTCCTTCTCCGTCTCAACCTTCTCAGCTGCGCGTTGCCCTTCTTCATGAACACCGACTACATGTTCTACTACTTCGCCCCCCTCGTCAGCTTCTGGTTCCTCATTATCTATGCCCTTTTCGCAATTGGCCAGAAGTACAACGACAACACCTGGGCGCTCATGGGTAAGATCGCTGTTTCTGCTGCTATCTGCCCTGGAGCTATGCTATATACGCCCGTCCTGCAGTGGGTTTTCGATGCCTTGAACGTGGTCTTCCGAATCGAGTGGGATCTTCACGAGTGGCAGTTCCGTCTCGGTCTTGATGGTCTCATTGTCTACGTCGGTATCATTATGGGTGTCGCTTCCGTCCGAACCAAGCTGTACAACAAGATCCTCACCCAGTCTTACGGCCTAGCCGGTGTCGCCGGTATTCTCTCCATCCCTCTGTACTGGTGGATTGCCGTCAGCAGCGCCGAGAGCAAGCAGGATTACACCGCCCTTCACCCCGTCTTCTCTTTCATTCCCATCATGGGCTTCATTGCTGCCCGCAATATGTTCCCCGCCGCCTGCACATGGTATTCTCGAACTTTTGCCTGGATCGGCCGATGCTCCCTCGAGACCTTTACCCTTCAGTTCCACATCCTTCTCGCTGCCGATACCAAGGGTCTCCTCCTTCTTGACATCTTCAAGGGTGATGGTAGCCTCCTCTGCGACCGCTGGAGGTCTCTGATCATCATCGTTCCCGTTTTCTTGTGGATCAGCTCCCGCGTTGCCGACGCAACTGGTGGAATGGTTAAACTTCTGACCAAGGATTGGGCTGCTCAGGAGCAAGAGGAGCAATACGATGTGGAGGCCAAGGCTGATGCCGAGCCTCTGATGAGCGGCAACATGCTCTCTGGCTTTACGCGGCACATGCCCTCAAAGTCCTCGTGGGCCAACAACCTCAAGCTCCGCATGCTTGGTCTCTTTGTCCTCCTCTGGACCCTCAACCTGGTAAGTTCCTGTCCGTTTATTCACACTATAGGCCGTCACTAACATTTCCTAGTTCTACTAGACATTCATCACATAGCATCGGCATTACAACAAGGCGTTTGGAGTAGCGAGTAGCATAGCATTGACGACGAGTCAGCTGGGGGACCTTCATTCATTCCGCACGAAACGCGTGTTGGCTTTTCTTTTTCACGGGCGCTTTCACCCGACTTTGGACATGACATACATTCAAGGCTTATCAGTAAGCTTATGCATAAGCCTACACGGCACGACATAGATTTTATATCGTAATGATAGATTTTACATGCTTCTTCAATTCTTGTCTCTGTGTAATGATGATGACACGATGCTCATTCCGATATCCGAGCACTGGGATGCGACTTGAACTGGATCTTTGAAGGCTGGCAAAGCATTCGTGGATCTATGGATGAGGTGAAACAGGGCGGCACAAACAATTCATGCGTCAAGACGGTCGCGACGTCGCGTGATTGTTGCAAATGCATTGCTCGTTTCATCTAAATTGCGCGTACTTCGCTTAGACTAAAGTTCCTTTCAGAGGGAACGCTGATCAATCTCACGGAGTCACGCGGTTGTATTGAATTCAGTGCTTGTGAAGATGTAATCTCGCACAATATGGTCATTTATGGCGAAGGAATGCACTTTGGTGTAGGCCTGTCAGAATGTGACAATCAGACTTAGAAGCGACATTGTCTGCAAACTCTCATTGCAACTTCATTATTATCTACCGAACATAAATTGCAGAGCAATTTCCAACGTCAAACTTGTCATTAAATCGTGATGCTGTGCCTGGTACCTATCGGGTGTTGTTATCTTGTTCTCCAGACCCCAGCCGCCAAGTAGAATACTAGTGGCTTAACAGATCTATGCGTATATACCGGCCATACTTGTTAGTGCCCTAGCATTTATTTTTGCACCATAATGACGTTGGGACACATTCGGTTCATAACCTGCATAACAAGAATGGCTGAATCCACTGCCCTGATATAAGTACTTTAGTAGCGGAGGCTACACCGTTGGGAACGTGGATGAGTTTGAGAATGGCCCTGAGAATCGTTGCTGAAGAAGTGGCGCCGTCATTAGTGGTGTTGAGAGCCGGCTCGCACCAGAATGGAGCCTCCCAGTCCAACTGAAGGGGTATGATTCAGTCAACGATTGCGTTCAAGGCGACAAGGCCTGCGAAGTTGAAAAGGGTACAGTTGAGAAGATTGACCGAGAAACAACTATTGAGATACCTTGACTCTCCCAAACCACTTGAATAAGATCGTGTGCACAATCTGTTCTCTAGTAGCACAATAGGCACCCGAATAAACCTATTTAAACCTCATCTTTTGACCCAATCCCTAAATTTTGACCATCTCTTCTTCTTACCCTCACTTGTCGCGTTACTTGTACTATCCAAACTCTGCTGAGCACTCCCCGCGTCCTGGCTGGAATGGCCAACACTAGGGGCAGTAATGGATGTCGTTTGACTCACGACTGAGCCAGTTGCTGAAGCATCTTGAGTCTGCTCGCCGCTGGTTATCGATGCAGCACCATCGTCGTCTGCCTGTTTCGGTGCCAGCCTCTCTCCAGTTCTTAGTCCCAGAACAGTGTGACCAAAGATCACAGCCCCTTTAGGGTCAAGAGACCCTAACTGTACAGGCCTCAAGCCATGCGGTATAGTACGGGACCACCATCTTTTCGCAAGGAATTGGACAGGGTTGTGATTGCACTTTGCCTGAGCAGGGACATTACTACTACCTTGCTTCTGGAGGCACTTACAATCCAGAGATGCCTCTTTGGCCGCTACCCAAGTAATCTTCTTAGTCAGTTCACCTCCAATGAGGCCCGGCTCCATTCTAAGGAGGCGTTTCTCATGGAGCATCTGCATTGTTGATATGGATGCAGCAAGATAGTCTTTTCCTACTGAAACCGATCTCCAGCTTGGGCAGATCAAATCAGGCTCGTCGGCGCGTATAAGATCTCCAAATCCCCGCCCAAAAAGGGTGGTAATACCAATAGTCGGTATTAGGTCGATCCACCCGTGTCCCCATGAGTTGACATGCTGAATACGCGGGTAAATTGGAACTGAGGGATCAATGACATCCACGATGTCGAAACCGACAACATCGCGACGTGGGTCCAAGGTCTGTGAGATCTTGATACCATCTTGAGATGCCGTCTGGGCTTGTCGATCAACCAACACCTCTATCGAGTGAAGAATACTCTTTACCCGCTCTTCAAAGGTCGAATACTTGGTGACAGGTACACCATTCGGGCCCACGTGCTTATCAACAATGTAAACATTTAATTCCCTGTTTTCCCAACTCTTTAAAGTCTGGAGTGCCGCTTGGCGACTTCCAACGCCTGGCCAGTGGTCTCTCAGCTTGCTGGGATCATAGACCCAGTCGTAGGCTGATTCAGGGTCATTGATGTCTATGTGAAGTGAAATGCGGACGAGATGGAGCAGGGCAGAAGCACCGTCGACAAGCCATGCACGACGTTCTTCAACATCATAGAAAACTACTGGCTGCAGTTTGACCCAATTAAGTAGACTCGGGTAGTCTTTTTCTCTTTGTAGCCAAAAGGGTTTCTCCTTTTTGTTAACGTCGAGCATGAAACCAACAGTAACAGGGCTTCCGCCTTCTATGTATAGCTTGTCTACAACAATGGATGCTGATGTCTTCGGTAGACCGCCAGGCTTGATCTCGTGATTAGCAGCAGGATGTCCTATTCCAATGAGTCAGTATTCGGATATTTGGTGTATCGATAAACTCAGAATACGGTTTGGCTCACCACACAGATCTGTTGCTTTGGTACACCATCCAATAATGTGACGTTTGCCTTCAATGTGCCGAAGGGACATTTCTTCGGAAGATCTGATATCAATATGGTCAAGTCTCGGGTCCACGTATGAGATCCTCTCCTCAGGCTCTTCACTGATGAGGAGATGCCATACCACGACATCAGCAGTGACTTGTGTAGCGACCATCAACATATTGAATCCTTTTATTACCAGTCTCTTGTCCCACTGGACAACCTCAGAAGATCCCACTATAGACGCTGCATATTGCAAAGGCACCTCGAGGCCAGACTTCGGCACTGAACGTCGTAGTGTTGGGTAGCCACGTATAATGTTCAGAGAGCCAAATAACCGCTCCCAGCAGAAGCCTTGGCTTGGGTTATAAGCGGTTTCGGAGAGAGTGGAGAAAGAAAAGGAGCACTTTCCCTTGACAGCGTTGATGCTCCCACTGTTGTTCTTGGAGGCCGTGGCGGAGAAATCGGTGACATGTGGCATGATCGATCTAAAACTGGCGTACTTGTGTACTTGAAAGACCGAAGCAAACCAAGCAATCTGTTCACCTACCTCAGAAATAGCGTAGTAGCCGCCTCTGACCCGGATTTTGTATCGAACATCCCTGTTATGGCCTTGGTTCATGGTACCCTCCAGAAGACAAGTATTGGAAACCCTCCGGCGAGCGGTTTCAGGCCAAGTCGGCACTGTCAAAAACCTTTCTTGGTCTGATAATAGGTCTTGTAGCAGGGACAAAGTGGCACTGCCAGACTGGGGCCATGTTTGGCTTATATATTCTGCAACACTTGTGGCTTGCGCTTCGTCCCATTTGCCAGTCAAGCAACGGATGTTGGGCAAGGCTTTGTCAAAGGAGGAGAAAATCCCGGATCCCTCCATTAATCCAACAACATCCAATTTCACAGAGTAGCTCACTTCGAACTCGATGGATGCTTTCTTTCTGCTCATTTTGTGGTGCGGAATACATTCTTTCAACTTTTCTCTGATCGTGTTGCCAATCTTGTCCATCAGGCTAGGCTCTTCGCAAGATAGCCGACTCTGCTGGCTGATCTTTGTCAAAAGCCACCGGTAAGCCTCGGATCCCTGGATAAATTGTCTGTACTGGGGCATTTGTGAAAGTTCGCTGGGTTCTCCAGATTTGACGTCAACTATCCAGTCAACGATCATTTCTTCGGCCTTCTTGAAAGGGACTGTGGAAGTTTCTTCTTCATTTTCTGCCTCCGAGTCCCCGAGACTCTGGCCAGACACGCTTTCGGCTTCTTCAAGTGCGGGAACTTGAAAGTCTAGGAGGTCGATAATGTTCCTGCCAATAACATGAATCGTGAAATATTAATGTTCAAACCCAAATTATGCTCACCTCCTCTTTCTGTGGATTATGACAGAAGTCTCAAGTTGAAATGGGTTTGTTGACTCCTCATGCAGCTTCCACGCAAAGTCTCGGAGTGTTTGGTCGAGAAACACTCGCCCAACGGTTTGGAGAATTGTTCCGTCAGTCGCCGCTCTCACATCCTCAGCGAGCTGATCTATGAAGGCCTGGAAGTATACAAATTTAGGGTCATCAGAGAGCGTATCAAAGGAATACGTTGTAGCTGTATCGCATTCAGCGCGATCATTTCCAGACTCGCCAGGAGACCAATGGTTCTGTTCTTCTCTGTGATGACTTGATGATATACTTCCCTCTCCTTCCGCTTGGCACTCTGTTGTCTGCAGAGGGTCCGAGGCCTCATTTGAGTTTTGGGGCTTATGCGGTAGAGAAGTGGGAACGGTCGACGGACGTGTCTCATGACTCTGGACTGTGAGGTCAAAGGTCGATGAACATGGGCTATTGGCTATGTCCTCACTCTGCACACTACCATAAGTGTAAGGGCTCTGGGTGTTAATAAGACCGGGTTCGAGAGGGTAGCTATCGGATGGCCCCCCTTCTTTTATCGGACGGAGGTAGACATCTGGGAGGTCGTCCCCAGCCTGCTGATAATCAGAGAGACTCGAAGTTGCAAGATTAATATTTGGATGACCCGATAGCTGATCTTGCGCTACAGGCTCCCCGAAGGAGTTGTGAGAAGCGAGATCTGAGAACGACATTTGTGGCCAATGGACGGAGCCATCGGAAAATGAGACGCCAAACATCAATGTGAAGTCATTCTCGTAGACCTTCTCAACTCTAAGTACTGCTGATGTAAGGTCCGTAAGGTACCCCTGCTTCTGCGACTCGCAGATGACCTGGTATTCTCCATATATATCGAATGAAACCGTTGCTGGAACAGAAGAGGGTGGAAGTGGCATAGTAAGGCATTTCTTTAGTATTCGAACGGCCCCTCGGTGACTGTAATTTGGCGGCATGTAGAGCAGAGGAGCTCCCGTCCCACGAGCGAAGACTATGTCATAGCCTGACCCCTTTAAGTTGACCACGTACCCACTGTCAACAGTGACTTGGGCCGTGATAAAACGCTTTAGCAGCCATGATAGTGTATTTCCCACGGCATGGTCGTTGTCAAGAATCAGGATGCGGATACCGCTTTGACTATCCCAACAAATTAATTCTGTGCATCTAAGCACTGGGCTACCCTCACCTATGTGCTTGCGGGTCACTGGGACCTCTGTTTATATCGAATAGAGTTGCCAGCCCCCGTTGGTTTCTCTCATCAATCCTAAGTGCTGATACATTTCGTATCCGAAGATCCTCCCTTGGTTCCATTGGTAGATCAACACGATCTACTCGTTTGACTTTGGTTCAGTAATAGAATCTTGCGCTGGGTACTAATCATCTTACTGAGTTTGAAAAATCCATTCTCTATTCTCTGGCTGTTGAGGCTGCGGGGAGTTTGGTTGTGGTCTTCAAAGACTGAGGGGTCCTCCTCATCTACGCTTTGAGCAGAGTCGAAGGATGGGAACGATCTCAGTGACCCAGCCCCTGTCGGCCCTTCGGACGGAAAATGGGACTGTTCTTTGTCGTCTCTTGAGTCGTCGTGTTGATTAACTCCAAGTATATTAGTATTGATTTCAGCCTGAAACTCTGGGTCCAGTTGAGACCAATCGGCGGCATAAAATACCGACTTGTGCGGTGGAATCAACTCTTTGTACGTCCATGCTCGACTTACCCACCGACTCTTTCGTATCTCTGAAGATGATATCTCTTTATCATCATCTTTGATATTTGCATTGGGTATTTCGCTTAGATACAGCAGACAAACTCCTGCTTTTAAAAACATTGAGTAAAGGATTTTCATGGTCTCCTCCTTCTCAACCGCGTCTTCGCCATTGATACAGACATTGTCCACCCAGAGCCACTCGTAGCCCTGAGTGATGGCTGCATGACAGGCGCTGATGATCTTGGAATATCCAGGTTTTGAAGTGTGCTGACTTAGATCTTCAAAGTCTTTGAAGGTCAGCTCCTGTTCCGATGAATACCAGCAATGAGAGAGGATCGCATAGGGCGGGTATGCAGAAGCATCATCAAAACTATGCAGTTTCAAGGTCTTCACGTTGAGGAACCTCATCGCTGACTAAGGTGCTCACAGAAGTGTGGACAAGGGCGTAGAGATGGCTGTTGATGGCTCAGGCTGTAGCTTTGGTAGTTGTTTATGAGCGTGACAGTCGACTTCATCATCGACTCAGAGCTCGACGAAAAGGCAAACGAATACTGAATCAATAGAAAAGGTCATCTTTGCGACAATTAAGAAGCGGGGTAAGGCAGACATGCACATGCGCAGCCTGATTTTGCGAAATCTCGAAGTTGGTGGTTGGTTGGAATTTCAGCCGCACTTTGAGATTTCTGGGCATGGGCTGAAGCAGCCTGAAACGAGGCATTTTGGGAATTAACCAGACAAATCCACTGATAGCCGCAGTTTGACCAAAGTGTATTTATGAAATAAGATAGCTGACGACTCAAGTTACACTACTCCAGGCGCCCGACATACAGCCCGTGCATGAATCGACCATTGCCATATATCTCTTCCATTTGCGCATACCACTCATCATTGTCCGAATCTTGCTCAAAACCCGTAAATCCTGTATCCTCTGTACTCGGGTTAATCAAACATTGTACAATATGCTTCATCTGAATCGCTCTCACCGTCTGAGTCACTAACCAACTCGCAAGGGCTCTCGGTCTCTATTCTCTCTTGGTTGTCCGGAAGCGAGAGTTTGGGACGACCCAGGGCTTGCGGGTCTTGTGCTTCCTTGATTGCCCTTTCGCTGACAGATCCACCGTTTCTCTCGATTGAGATTAGAGGACGGAATGTGATGGAGACGATGTAGTAGTCGAGTTTGTGAGGTTCTGTTTCATCTCGAGTCCAGCGTTGACCGTGCCAAGTGCTTGAACCGCTCCAGCGACTTACTTTGCGGTTGGCATCTGATGTATCCGCGTAGAGAACAACACCGTCGGGTCTTTTGAAGAACCAGGCGTCGACCATCTGCTTGGCGATCTTGTCGACCTGACCCTTCTTACGCTCGAGGGACTCCAGTTCAATGCAGAATTGAGTCGTACTGGGAGTCAGCACTTGACAAACACCCTCGATCCAGTTTCCCTCAATGTGAAGGGGCTCATCCTCCTCCCAATACCACCAATCGGTGTGGCGGATGGTGAGCGTTATGGTGCGGGGAGCCAGATGGGGGATATGTAAGATGTCTTCCAAGCCGTGATCTTCAAGTCTGTACATCTGTGCAAAGACTCTTAGTCTCTCGATCTCAACATTGTCTGTGCCTAGAGATTTGGAGATCATTGATAGCATAAGGTCCAGACGTGGGGGAGCTTTGTCAGGAGGAGGAGCACGATCTTCACCCGTAGCCCATTCTGTGTGCTCTCGTAGGAGAAATGGCTTGAACCAAGTTTCGCGATAGATAGCGCGACATGTACGAAGAAGCCGGGTATCGGTTGATTGAGCTGCTAGATAGGAGGGGCGGGTGTAGCATGTGTTTTCCCTGAACTTTTTGGTTGGTGCTGGGTCCGGGTGATCCGTGAGGACATAGGAGAAGATGCTGTCTCTGACTTCTCCAGGGAGTTTAGAATAGAGAGGGCTTTCATCTTGGGGAATTGGGGTCTTGGAAAGGATATCTTGGCGAAGTAGGTTGGCCATCTTGGTCGATGGGGGAAGCCTAAGGATTGAAAGAGTAAGGCGGGCTTATCTCAAGCCAAGTTGGGTATTTAACGCATGCTCCAAGTTAGGCAACCGTGCGGGGCTGTGCTGGGCTACCCAGTCAGCCAAGATGATGATGCTATGTTGCCTAAGCCAATAGACATTTCTCGGCTGAGCCAACTGCGTCAGTGTGCTTACAACGAATGAGAAGTGTCTGCGGCTCAGCCTGCATGCTGCAAGTTGTAAAACTCCCCTCGGTCCACTCCACGTGGGCCAACATTCACGGTACCAAGAGCCGAGTCTTCGGAACATTATCTATTCAGAAATCGCCGAGATATATAGACCAAGTTATTCATTTCTCATTCCACATTTAGTATCCGTAAAGGTTGACCTGCTCAGAGGTAGAAGCGCGGATGCGGCGGTTCTCGCGGATCAAGAGGACGCGAATGGCCCAAGCGCATGCAATTGAGCACAGAGCAAAGCCAGCAGAGGCACCGAAACCAATTCCATATCGAGGAGAGTCACTCTTGGGCCAGAGGTAGGCACCATAGATGTAGCCGATCTATGTCAAAGTCAGTATGTGTGATGAACAAGAGAGCTGCGCATCTTACCTGTCCACCGACGTTGGTCATTGCCAGGACAACAGCCTTCTTCTCCTTGGTCTGTGATAGAGTTGAAGATGCCCAACCAATGATGACAGAGTTGACAGCATAAGCACCCATGGGGAAGATGAAGCAGGCGACATAGCGAGCAGCGGTGTTGAGAGTGCAGGCTGCCAGAACGAAACCAGCAACGGCAATCGATAGTCCAGCGGTGATGTGCCAGGTACGCTCATGCATGCGTCCAGAGTTCCAACCGAAGAGGATACCGGCCGCACCAGCGAAGATGAAGGGAGGGCAGGTCATGACGAGGGTAATGGTAGTGTTGAAGCCAAGAGTCTTGATGACGCTATGACACTGTTAGCTGTGAATATGCAAAGCGATCCAGGATCACTCACGTAGGGAAGAAGGAGTTGAAGGAGCATGCAGAAAGATGGAAGTTCTGCATGAGGCAGAAAAGCCATGTTCGCTTATCAGCGCAGGCCTGCTTCAAGCCCTCCCAGGCCGAACCGCCCTCCTCAGAGTCATAGGCCTTGTCCTTCTCCATGCGCTCGTGAGCAAGCTGCTTCTCGCGTTCGTTGAGCCAGCGGGTGGTAAGGGGAGTGTTGGGGAGCATGAAGAACCCGACGATGGCGACAAGAGCAGTAGCAGCACCCTCGATGATGAAGAGCCTATAACTGTTAGACGGGTCCGAAGATAGAGGCCGAGTAACTCACCATCGCCATCCTGCAAGACCGGCCTTTCCATCCAAACCTGCAAAGATACCAGCGGCAATGAGACCTGAGAAACCAGTGGCCAGAATCTGAGCACAGTAAAGTACGGCAATACGAGCAGCGACCTCTGGTTCATATTAGTATCTTGAATACTTCTCACAAGCGAGAAACTGACCTTTGCGGGTGTAGAAGATGGAGAGCATGTAAGTGGCACCAGGGTAGAAAGGAGCCTCAGTGATACCCAGGAAGAATCGACAAGCGACCAATCCGCCATAATTCTTAACAAGAGCAGTGCAAGCAGAGACAGCAGCCCAAACCAGCATCCAAGCACTCATGTAAATACCAGGCTTGACCTTGGTGATCAACATGTTGCTGGGGACCTGCATAAGAACGTAACCAACAAACAAGCTAAAATAATCAGCATTGCTTCAGAATTTCGGCATTCGCATCAACGTACATCGAAACGGTCGTGTTAAACTCGGTACCAGTCATGTTGAGATCCTCCTCCAAGTTATTCAATCGTGCTTGAGCAATGGCATTTCGATCGACGTAGTTGAGGAAGTACATAACACAAAGACATGGCTGGGAATGTCAGTCTGGTAGCCAAGCATTGGCGCGTTGATCACTCACCATGATCCAAAGATCAAGCTTCTTGACAAGGCGGATCTCTTCAGGGTCTGTCTTCTTGGCAGTACCCGTCCAATCTCGCTCCTCCACCTGCGAAGGCTTCTCATCCTCGAGAATGCTATTGACATGCGCAAACTCGGGCGCCTCGCGCTTCTGGTCAGTAGTGGTAGCCATTGTTCTTGATCTTGTTGTGTTGGTGAGTTTGGCGTGAAGAAGAAAATTTTCGTAGAGGTCCAGGCTCTCTATATTTATGGGTTCTGGCCGTTGATCTTCGTGGGGGGCGGGGAATAAACCTGGGGAAGTGGTGGTAAACCTGGGGTAAATGGCCTTCGGAGACAGAAGTAGAGGCCGGAGGAAGGAAAAGGTTACTTTCAAGGTTAATTTGGGAGGGGAGAGTGACGCTAATGACAACTGTGTAGTGTCTCATTTGACGCTGCATGGGGTTATGGCTGTGGAGATGGTGAGTGAGATTGGGGGAACCATTAGATTTGATGGGAGGACCGATGTGACTCTAGATCCAGTCAAGAATGAAGAGATGGTCATAGCGATTATTGAATGTCGATACGTGTATTCGACCTGAGAAAAGGGCAGTTATTAAGGTCTATGAGTGAGTGCATTTACTCTATTATCAATCTGGTCTTAATCCCATTGCTTTCATTACTGTCCGCTGTGCATGAACCCCAAACTTGCAGATCCGCGCTACGAGTCATTGTCTTTTACGCATAAAGTATGCTTAATCCAGCCCTGGATCATCATCCCAATGACACCACCATTACTTCCAACATCCGAGGACAAACCGCATCGGCGCTACAAAACGGCAACTTTCCGTGACAGATCTAACTCAAGATGAGATAAGAGACAAACAGCTTTTACGGAGTCTACTTTTTGTGCCGGGCAATTGCTCTCATCGCAATGCTATCACGCAAAATGGTTCGGAGACTGATGAAGCTCCGATGGTTCACGTGTCGCGCTACGTGCCGGAAAAGGGTCGAGACTCCAAGAGATAAAACGCCAGGCTTGGCTAGATCTCTTGGGGTTGTTTATCTGGAGATTTCTTGGCTGCAGGCAAATGGCGGGGCTCTGAGGTAGATTGGATGATATTTATAAGCGGCGTTTTGTTTTTTGAAGCCGATGGTTGAGTGATGTTGAGTGATGAATGCATGGGTTTGTTTGTTGAGGCTGCTCCACGATGTTAGCACTCAATCTCTGTGCCTTGTGAAAACACAATTGATCACCTGGTACAAGTTTTGCGCCGCCAGTCTTCTCACATGTTAAATGCCTACCCTAATCAAAGAATAGTGAAATGTCTGTTATCTTCTAATTTTCTGTCAGAACGGGCGGTCTTGGAGTTGTAGTCAGAGCAAAGCTTGGCAAACACCCGTCACGGCATCATGATCCGACCTGGCGAGACCGGAAAAGGAGTACCGAAAATGCTAACAGACTCAACAGAACCTGGGCTAACTCTTGTGATATAAAGAATGGAGATTTCATCTAATGTCTATCTGCAATTAATGAAGGAACACACGTGATATTACAGAGTTAAGTACAGGTGAAAGATGGTTTCGTAGGCTCTTCAGTGGCAGGCTTTTCCGTATTTGCGTAACCTCGCGTAATTGTACGGCAAAGGCGCCAGGAAGCCCGCTGCAATTGACACCAGAGCAGCCAGCCAGAATGATGGATCATCAAGAGCAACTTGCCCTCCCGTTAAATAGTAGTCCACTGCATTTTCGGCTGCTTCCATGGTCAACATAGAGATGAGACTCATGCCGACAGCTGTCCTCATGGCCGTAAGCCAAGACAATCCATCACGGCCGATGCGCAGCATTACCGTCTCGAGAAGAATGGACGTTGAAACACCAGAAGCCACTGCTCTATTAGTTTTGCTTCCGTCGAAGTTGATTGGCCACTAACTTGAGATTGGCATCACTATTCCCATACTGAGCCCGGGATAGTAGGCCTGGAGAAACCACATGGCTGCAAAGTCACCAACTGTACAGCCGATGAGGCATCGCGTAGTGTTGACAGAAGCCCTCTTCCAAGCTGACTTCAAGGACCAAAAGTCGCGAGAGGTTATAGATGGTGGAGTCGATGGTTGTGAGGCCTTCTTTTTGCTACAGCATTGGCTGCTCGTTCGATGCTTTTGGAGGCTGATACTGATTGAGGGGGCGTTGATCGCAGTGGCGTGACGCGATTGCGGGATCGCGAAGGAGCCCGCACGGCGCGCGCAAAGTCGACTGCTACCCAGAAGTCCATTCATGTCTTATCTGCTAAGCCTGCGACGGACGATGCACCGAGAAGAAGGAAGAATTGTTCTTGATCTGACGCGATTGTTGTTTTACTCGCCACCGCGAAATTGGCTCAGTCCCACTTAAAATGCTCACTCTCCAACAAGACTCATCGCCGCTTCACACATACTATCACTCAATAAATCCCAAGATAATGAGAAAATGGCCCGGTAACCATGCTTTGTAGCAAATCACAAACTGGTAGAACAGCAACCGGAGTCATTGCTTCAGGGAGACCCTTAATGGAGTTCATCATCGAGATGCTAGCAAGCATGACAGAGGTTTTCCTGTGCGCAAAAGATCATCCGAATTCTGGCCTCAATAACCTACAGCTCGGGCTATATCCACGCCAATTTCCTACTTATCATTATCATATAAAACCATCATGTACACAAAGCCAAGGCCTCAGCTGAAAAGCATCAGGCCCCAAAACCTCCTAGGCGGAGCCGATACCGGAACAAACACAGCTACAGGCTTGATTTGTCATCGGATCAAGCTTCAACTTTGTCACGATCATGCATTTACTCCCTGGACTGTAGTACTTTCACCGCTGATTTGTAATGTGTGCGAGTCTTATTACACTGGTCCTTCGCTTGAATTTCCTCTACGTTGAAGTACCTCCCATGACAACGAACGCCGTCTAAGATTCGAGATTCACAAACATGGAGGGTAGAAAGATCGTGATTTCGGGTGCAGGCCGCGGCCTTGGTCGTGCTTTGGCTATCGTCGCTGCTTCTCAGGGAGCCACCCCGATATTGCTGGGAAGATCCCAAAGCGCGTTGAAAGAAGTCAGCGAGACAATCAAGAGCGACAGTGGTGCGACAGCATATCCCATCATCTGCGACCTTTCAGACCCTACTTCCGTAGCCACAGCGACGAAGGAGATAGTCGAATTGCATCCTGATATCGATATCTTGGTCAATAACGGAGCCCATTTCACCGAGGGCAGCTTCGAAAAGCAAACGGATGATCAGATCCTGTCGGTCGTGAACTCCGCAGTCACTGGTACCATGATCTTGACACGACAGCTTTTGCCATTACTGAAACAACGGCCACGTGCAGACATTCATAACGTCGTGTCCATGTCTGGTCTCCAGTACGCAAGGCTCACCGGTGCTTCACTTCCTTTCAGAGCGGCAAAGGCTGCTCAAGACGGCTTTACCCAGGGCTTAGTGGAGGAACTTAAAGGTACATTTGTCCGCGTCACTTCAGTCTATCCCGGGTTGATTGAAGATGTATCGCCTACAAGCGCCGACTGGCAACAGCAGCGTGGTTCTGATGAGGGCATAACAAACAAGAACGTTGTTGACACAATAATCTTCGCACTCTCTGCTCCCCCGAACTTGTCATTACGTTCAATTGTTATCGAGGGAACCCGGTCCGACTTTTTACTGTAGCCTTGAGATTTTAGTCATTGAGCTACACAAGCTTCGATCATCGACTAGAGTTCCCACGCCAGGGCTTCAAACAAGTTATTTTTTTGACCCTCAACACTTTCATTTGGCCTCAATTCATGGCAATCTTCGTTTCCCTAGCTAAGCCGTTGTATATTGCTACACCTGTGACTCGTTAATGGTCTGTCTTGCATCTACTTTTCGCTGTCTCCAGCGTCTAACCCTGAGCCTCTCAACTCCACTTCCCCACAGTCTTGACCGTTTTGGTGATGCGGATGGACTGATGGGAATGCCAGTCTGGGCATTTGATTCCTCTGTAAGAGTGGTGACATCTTGATCCATGATCAAGTGGAGCTGGCAAGGCTCATGTGATTTGAACACCCTATCCCGGAACTCCAAGACTGTATCCCATTTGTATCCATAGACCAAAGCAAGAGTGATAACTGTGACAGTTAACGGAACCGCCGACGACCAAAACAATCTTTGATCCCAACCTATATCTCTGACATCGGTTGTATTCATGCCAAAGAAACTTGTGACAAAAGACCTGTCATGTTGTGAGCTTTCGTACAACTTAGTACGAGCCCTAAGTTTGTTGTACTTACAGTGGAAGAAAGAACAGGGTCACGAAAGTGAAGACACGAATGGCTTTTCCATGCCCTTCGTCAAGTACCTCTAGCACTTGCTTCATCTTGTATTTCGTTACTTGCGCAATGCCTAATAGTGTCTCTAAGGACCTGATATTCTCCGAGAGTTTCTGGAGATGTCGTTCGAGGTGCTCGCGTTCCAATATGTGCCTCCTGCTTCGGTTCCTGAGATATTCATCATCTGTCGTCTCATGCCGGAAGAAATCAGGATTCAGGATCTTTTTGAATGCTTTGACCATACGCATCTGTATTTCGATAACTGCATGCAAAGCGTCTGTTTCTTCTTCAAGAGCTGAGATTTCCAAGAAGCGTCGCCTTCTTGGGTCTCGCACAGCGATATACTGAAGGCTGGATGAAACTCGACGATAATACTGGATGATATCCAGCGTTTGCCCTGTTCGACGCAATATAGTGTGATTTTACAAATTGCTGATAAGATTTACCAGTAGGAACTCGGGGCCTATGTCACATACTATCAGCTGGTCTTTGTCGCCTCTAGGTGTCCCCGACATCATGATGTCGCGTGTTGCAAGGTCCAACTGTTCGTATATCTTTTGGTTGATTTCCTTGATCTTAACACGAATAGCTGATACTTCCTTATCAGCCGAATTCTGCATGCCTGTTTCGAAGTTCCGCAACCTTGATTGGTTTATCAATGAGGCTTCTTCAGCTGCAAGAAGGAACTTGCAAATGATGTATTCGAAACAATGTATAAGGCTGACCTCAACTTGCGTTTCTTCCCCCGTCATCGAAGCATGTACATCTTGAGCTTTATCTCGTATTTTCAACAGGTCGCCATAAAAATGATGGTCAGGATCATACGGATATGGCTCTGGTTCGGGCTCCCAATGCTTCAAACATACCCAGCTTGAGCAAGGATCATCTAAGATAGTCGTGATTCTCTTGCTTTGATAGCACGTGATGTGCCGCTCGTGTAAATGGTACACTGCATCCTTAATGGATGAGTATACTGTGCCATTGTTACACTCGTTGCATTGACTGGACGGCAAATGATTCAACACCATGTCCAGCTCTCCCTGGCGAACGAAAGGAAGCAATGACGAGATAACATAGTTACATTTCGGCCCAGATATTCGAGGCAATATGGTGGACAGATAAGTCTGCTGCAAAGGATGTCAGCTTGAGCTGTGATATGGTTTTGGGGAGACAGAACGCGTATGATCGAGTCTAGTGCACCCCAATACCTCTCGGGTACCGTATGTGCCGCTGTATTTGATAGCGGAAGGAAAAGGGAAAAGAGGTCTTCTGACAATCTAAAGATAGACTGGATATTTGATATAGCGGAGGGCCTGTATATTTCGTAAAGTCCATTATCGGCCAGTTCAATCGCTAGTGGCGACATTTCTTTGTCGGTAATAGAGCAGAGTATTTGGCATCTATCGTAAACAGAATCCCTGGTGTAAGCTGTTGTCTTTGTGAGAAGTAACTCGAATGGGCTCTTGAGAATAGCCTGTTGTATTTTATCCATTAATTTATGAGATAGCACGCTACCATCGCTCACCAAGCCGCTGTTGGTATCCTGACCCTCAGAATTGCTTAGGAACCAGTGAGATGGTCCTCTCAAGGGCGAGTCCAGCACGCGTTGTTTGGCTAATAGCGTTCTAATGTTGTCATGCTTGCTCAAGTTGATACGTTCGTGTGTACTGGTAGAAACATCAGGGAAACTCTGTGTTGTCTCTGTCTCTTCCAGATATTGAGGTGAAACGGATGATGCATTGTCATATGAACGATACGATCGAATCATAAATGGCATCCCCATATAGTAGACAGCGATACTGTCAGGTTCTGAATCTAAACAATATTTCGATGAGTCTTGATCGACTTTGTCAGGCGTATCCACAGGCTGTTGGGTGAACGAGGGCCACTGAGTTAATCATATGCTGTTCGTTATTGCTGAGGATCGGTTAATTGAACTTACCACTTCGGCTTCAAGGTTCGAAATACTGAAGGAGAATTCGTTTGGGCGCGATAGCTCGTTCTTATATATTCGAGTATGAGATGGCTCTAGAGAAGTTGCTTGATGACTGGACACGTCTGTGCTTATTTCATTAAACTCGGCAGAACCTGTGGATGAATTTTTTGTATGTTCTGCTTGAAATAATGAAGGACTCTTTTTCAACTGGAAAGCATGCCGCTCTACTTCTCCCGACCTTAGGTAATCGTGCCAAACTGAATGGTTGACGAGGCGCTCGTGTTCATCAACCAATACATACGAACCAAGACTTAGTCTATCGTTACGGGGAAGGCCAAAAGCCTGACGCACAAAGCTCTATTAGACGTTAGAAAGATGTAGAATATTTGAGATATGATACCAAAGACCTCATGGCTGCATTCCTTCTCAATAACTAGGTCGCTGCGACGAGTTCCACTCTCATCTATTATCTGAATGGTGTAAAGCCCGCACGAGTTAATTTCATTTTCCCGGCTTATGGCAATATCACTTGATACCATGTGCTGCCAGGGCATCCGAGAGATGCTTATCAAGATATCTACTAGCTTGTTATTCAGTACTGTAGCCTATTGGCAAGATACATACCGGAACCTATCAAAAGGAAGCTGGCTTCAGGTACTTCTAGCATGTCTGAAACGCTATGCTTGAAACCATTCGCAGTTGATTCCCCCGACCACGGCTGCTGGAAGGAGCCGGATTCGCTACCATAGAGAAACTCAATGAGAGTTCTTTTCCGGGGTTCTACTGAGACAGGGGCTGCTGTTGGCTTTTGCGCCATAAGAAGATGGGGCGTCGAGGCAAATATCACAGGCTGAGTATCCCGGGTATCAGTACTCGTACATGCTGAATGTACTCGGTGGCGCCCAACATATCGTATGACAGTTCCTGTGTCAATTTGTGATCTCGAGGCATCTGTTTTAGAGCATTGCTGGCTCGCTTCTAAGAGGACCTTTAGAGCAACTGATCTGAGAGAATTCGAGATGAAAGGGCACTCGGTGACAAGATTCTGAAATGATAGCGCAGTCGGATCAGAGGATAAAATCTTTCGAGAAAGCCAGAAACAAAAGTAGGCAACTCACCTCGAGCATACGAAAGTTTGATGAAATGCTTTCCAGATGCCTTATAAAGCGTGATGTCAGTTCTGAAGGCGAACCTATTCAAGATTCGGGACGTACATACATCCATCGGAATTTCACATCTCGTTTCGGTCTACCACGATAACCTAGGGAGTTGAGTGTAAAGCTGTGCGACCTCGCATAATCTTGATAATATTCAGCATACCCGATGTCGAAAAGATCCGCACGTGTCGCTTGACCTTCGAGCCGTAAGGTAGGATTGAACCAAGCCCTGTATGCCTCTGATGACCCTCGAGTTGAATAAATGACATGCGTTTGCTTTTCGTGAAGATTCATACTATGAACGTCAGATATCAGAACTTGATTAACCCAAGATCTCATGAACGAGTCCCTAGCACCACCTCTGCTGAAGTGGTCTCCATTGAAACTATTCGGTATCGGCATTGCATGCCCGAGGAAATCGGGAACTGGCCCTTGCTCTTCAACGTCAATGAGAATCCTGTCAGAGTGATGCCGATTGGAACTTTGTGTCGAACTTTCCGATTCATGAGGTTCTTGGCTCTCAGTAGACAAGGCCTTGACTTCTGCTAGCGAAAGGGACTCGGGATAATCGCATGCCCTTATTGCTCGCTTTGATCCCAGAGTGTCGGGAGCCTTAGTGGCTCCATTTCTGTAGCGTTGAGGCATGGATTTATCACTTGTCCGGGGTACCAACAAGCCTCTAGACAAGATGGTAGGGGAGCGGAATCACTCTGTGGTGTGATTTTGAAATCAGAGCTAGATGTGTAGGAATATGCTGCTGTCGAACAAGACCTAATGATTTTAATAGCGATATTATAATAAACAGATCGCTCCTTGATACCCGAAACTCTATGGTCAGTAAGGCTTATGGATAAATATCCTGAGATGAAAATTCGGGGTTACGTGGCACGACAGAAGCAATCCAGCACAGCGCATCTTGCACAACCTTCCAAAGACATAAGTGCGTGCCAAGCGGCCGAGGAAGGAACCCTTTTCAAAGTTCCACTGAGTGATGTTCTAATTCAGATACCGTTGCGAAACCGCATGACGCAGTTAGGAATACAGTTACTTAGTTCAGTGCTCCATGTATTTCGTACCAAACTTGTGTCTGTTTTGGAATACCATGATTGTACGACTAAAAATGACTCTCTAGCGATACCTGACTGTTGAGACTGGGGGGGGGGGGGGGGGGGGGGGGGGTACATATCTGCAATCGATAGTAATAGCTTATATTTATGATAGTAGGTGACAATCCCCTTTCAAATGCCGACTGTATTGCGATGTTCTCTCGCCCTTATGACAAGGTTTTATATTTATTCTAAAATGTGATAGAAATTCTTACTTTAATCTTCTTTTGGATCATTGAACGGGTGCAGGTAGAGCAGTATGCTGATGGTATCTATGAAACAAAGGGACTCGGTATCACCGGTAGGGCTTACCGTCGAGGACGAGATGAGACGAGGAATCTGAGGGCTTGTACCTAGTGTACACAAGGCCTCCTACGAGTAGCGGTCTAAGTAATTATACCAGGGGAACAGCGGACAGAGGGCTCTAGCCACCTCCATCTGCTGTTCAATGTTCTGCAGCTTGATCGCCCTGACTCATTGCAGTTGATACTTGTGGCTGAGAGCATAAATCAGCAGAGGGAACTTAGGATACCTGCAATAGTCGAATTCTAAGGATATGATGTCCAAGAGACCATAACGTCAATTAGACCGTCATTCTAGAATTCTATCTGTAGCTAGCCCTGGTGTTGTCAGACAAAATACGAATAGAAGTAGGGCCGAAAGGCTCCCGCGCAGCCTGGAGATTGTACGCCAGACACTTGATTCGTCCAAGCCAAACCCTCGGCTCCTGAAACACAACGACATAAAGAAGATTTGGAGATTTTCCATTTCCTAATAGCTCAGCCTGCATTATGCAGAAAGGTGGTCACGGTCAGGTGAATTGGATGTCAGCCAAAGAACGACAAGTGTAAAGCCGAAACGGATGCTGGCAGGACATTGTACAATCACAAGCACAAAGGCTGCTCCGAAATGTAACTTTACACTGTGAGGAAGTTCCAAGTATATTTGGTACATACTCGGACTACTCAGCCCAGGAAGATATCCTTCTATTGACATCTTTCGAAGTCACCAAGGAACAAATTGCCTACCTTACAACAGCCAGAGGCTCCATTACCCTTTCACTCAGTATGCACGGCCGTAGAATCTTTCAGCCTCGGTCATTGCTTGCTCAGCTTCGTGGAAAACACCACGACTCGACCCTCATCAAAGAGTGTCGCATCAATCCTCTGCAACGCATTGAGCTCTTGCCCAGGTTTGTTGATCTTGAAGAGCTTCCCATTACGGTCCTCTCCGATTACCCCACTCGTACAAATGTCCCCTAAAATGACCAATCCGCTCTTGTGGCGGGTGAGCATGGTGATGAGCAAATGCTCATTCGCTGTGATGTCAGGTCCTGTGTCACGCGTGGTGGACATCACCACGACAACGACATCGGCCTCTCTTCCACGATAGCTTTCGATGGTGGCGGCTTCCGGCATATTCTTCAAAAGTTCGAACCTCTTTTGGTTGCGCTTGCGCTCGATGAGTGCAGCATTGGCGTACCAGGGTGTGAGAATGACGATTTGTGCTGGATCAATGGCCGAGTGGGTGACTAACCCAGCAATAAAGCTCAAGACGGCACTGTCCTGTTCCTGACAGGCCTGCGAGCCGTCAACATCCTTGTAAACTGTTGAGTTCTGTCGATGAATGAACAATGGCTGGTGTAGAATGCCGCCTGGCGGTTTGCGCAACGTTGGGTATTTCATGCGCACACAAGCCTCAAGCTCTCGTCCAACATCGGGTTGTTGCTCTGCCATATTGTGGTCGGGTTGGTGGTACCGAAGTGGGACATGGGGGTAAAATACTTGGGCAGCCAAGTCGTACATGCCCTTGGCCACACGAAACTGTGTATCGAGACGCAAGACTGGGAGGCCAGATGCTTGCAGGAATTCTAGGCCAGAAAGTTGGCCATCCCCGGCAAAGCGATTGTAATAGTTTTCCGAGTCTGGTTCTTTCTCACCAGTAGTCTGAACTGCTGGCTGTTCCGATCTTGTATCTCCAATGAGAAAACATGGAAGCAGCGTGTTCCCCCAGACACGGTAGAGATCAGGTCTGTCCATCATTCCTGCTTGATCAACTACAACTCCTTGTACCGATCTCCTCTTCCATACCACATATGGTTCTCCTCGAAATGCTGATCCGAGCTCTGGTGCACATATTGGTGTAACGCAAAGCATGTCCGCTTTTTCAAGTAACTTCTCCATGAGATCATTGAAATGACCGTCCAGATATTCCGAGATAAGTTGAGGAAAACCATCTCGTATGGGCACGAGTTGTTCATCTTCGTCGATGTCTTGCTGCAACTTATGTAATGTTAAGCTATCATCAGGTCCAAGACTCCGATCAACAACGGGCGATCTGAAAAGAAGCAGAAGCCAGTAGGCAGCAGACAAATGCAACTTCCAATTGACATCCCCATTGGGCTCTCCTGGGAGTTTCCAGTCATCTAGGACTTCTTTTCCGAGTTCAGGTTTCGTTAAAAGCATGTAAAAGGCGTTCTTCTCTTCGTGGTAAGAGTACAGTCGAATGACCAGCTTGCGACGATACCGGCTTGAGTCGTCCAGAGGCTTTCCCACGTTCAGTGTTTCTGTGATATCCCAACTTTATTTGCCGAGATGATATGCGAAGTTGTCTACGGCTGTATCCGTTGGCGCTGAGCAGAGAATTTTGCCGACCTTTGCCTGTAAGGCCAGCGTTGCAGTAGCACCCAGTGCTGTCTTTCCAGATCCTGGAGGCTAATGCCGCTCACAGTCAGTATTTGCCATGGCATGGGGGGACATTGGTACGTACACCTGTAATCATACCAATGCCCAGTGTTCTATTACTCAGATAGGATCTGAAGCGGGCACGATCTTTGGGCAGAACCATTCCAATAATGGCGTCAACGTAGGCCTGATCATCAATGTCGAGAAGGTTAATCGTTGGGAGTGGCCTCCATTTGCTGTTGCCATCGGTCTTCGTCATCCAGTCATAAAATCCAGCGCCACGTAAAACAGATCGATGCAGACCCATTTTGTCATTGATTTCATCAAAGAGTAGCTGCTGTTCTTGAGTCATGTCGTCAGGCAGGGCTTCTGTTTGAGTATCAGTTCGAGAAGTCCTCTCTGTTGTTAGCCATTGCGCAGTGGGATTGAATGCGCGTGCTTGAGGATGAAAGGAAATAACAGCCTTAATTCGGCGCTGAGATCGGTTGGATTTATTATTGAACATCAAAGACACGTAGTTCCAACTGTTATTCTCTTTCAATAGTGCCTCACTCGCACTCTGGCGGTCGGCAAACATTTTGAACTTGTCGAGGTCCTGGTCAATGCTGCTGTTGATGCGGTAGCTTCCCCATATCTCATCATCGTAGGTCCTCATCTGCACTTTTCGCCTAACGACCAAGATCAGATCGGTAGCGCTTTTTCGGTGTCGGGCATAGCGATCAAGTCGTCCTAAAGGCGCAATGCGACAGAACCTGTGAGTATCAGCAAATATGCACTTACAGTTACCTCAAACGTACCATTCTTCCGGGATGGACTCCTGACTTTGTCGCGAGGTGAATACTTCTAGCCTAAAGGTTCTTTGTTTGATGAGAAGCCTCCAGGACGGGCCAATTGCCTTCAAGAGTGGCTCAGAAAAAGGAATTACAAGGTGAAGACCATCCTCGACGCCAGTATCGGGCACCTTACAGCGGAAGAAGTAGCCTGGCATTCGGGTATGTTTCACTGAGAGGTTGTCATCCCAGTCATGGATCGTTCCCTCGTGATTCCATTTCGAACTTGGGTGCCCTACTCACTCTACTGCCTGGTGTAGCCATAGTGCATCCTGTACGATAGACTGGCTGATAGCTGTTAAGTGCGAAACATCTGTGGGGTGACTGCACTATGTCAGTACGGCTCACATCCATTACGATGGCTTCATTCACCTGTAAAGTGGCGCGAACTGCTGGCCCTTGTCTTCTCGGAGCTCTTTCTCAAAACGAGTAAAATCCCAAGAAGAGTCTTCACTGTAAGGGTATCGGAAAGTCGACAAGTTTTGAGTAGTGCCGAGGATCTTCACAAGACTGCTTTTTGAGGGCAGGATGAGGTATAGAGTTTGCTGCTGGAGAATGTCCAGAAGATGGTATGTTCCGGCGATGGGGACGTCTCCGTTTATCCAGCTTTCAACCTGGTGGTCTTCTTGGTTCGCGAAAGGGATACCGAAGCCTTCGATTGTAGCTCGACTCTCATCAAAATGTATCTTTACGTAGCTGAGGTGCTCGTTCGTGATCGTACTCGGAGACTGTCCTTGCTGGACTTCGTAGGAGAAGTTACGAGGAAACTTGATTCGGATCTGGTGGTAATCGCAAAGCTTTGACCTGTCTTGTGAACCATGTTCTGGGGCTTGGTGAAATGAGAGTTAGCTCCGCCGCGGCAGCTCTGCAAATGATGCTCACCTCGATACCGCACGCCAAAGCCGGCCGCCTCGTTCGCTTTCTGATCTTTTCCCAAGGGAAAGTCGAGTGTGAGGCCAATCCATGTGTCACAATCCCACGCTTGCACTGAGCGGAGCTGAGCCTTTATCTTGGTGCGAAGGCCAATTTTGTCGCCGCTGGCGATGAGCGGACCGTGATGGCCAAAGCTAACGCGAGATCAGCAACAAACACAGCAAGGAGTAGAACGATGACTGACAATACAGCGCAGTCTTCTGTGACTGTTGCTGGATTCCTTGATGCCATAATCGACGTCGGCTGCGGCTGCGGCCTGCAGTCGAATGGTGCACAGCCTTGGTTCTCTCAAAGTTCAACTCGGCGTGTGGATGTTGATGGGGTCAAAATTGGCGGGGTCAGCGGCGATGCGCTGCTGGGGGTGCTTTAGGCGATTCGGTGTAACCCCAAGACGCGACTCTGTGCTTCCGTCTCGCCAGCGCGTGTTTGCAAAGGAAGTTGGATTGAGGCTGAACAGAGAAAGTGCAGCGCCTGTGCAGCGCAGTACAGTGCAGCCCCCACTGAAATCGCCAAATGAGAGACTGCCCGGCAATCGCGCAGTCAACTTCATCTCAATGAATCCAGTGCACGAAAAATGAAGCTTCACATATCTTTGGGTAACATTTAGCTGTCGTTTTCTGGTTTGGCTCACTGTGCGTAGCAGCCAAATGTCTTTTATCCAGCGTTCAGTTCCTTGTTGGTACTCGGCAAAGGCATCGCTGTCGCTGACTTCTCTGCCATCGCGTCCGCACGAGATAAGCCTCGCGATACAAGTATCAGCTTTCAAAACTATCAACGCAAAGCAATACTCTCAAGATCACACTTCAGAAAGAAAATATAACTCTCTGTTTTCCAATTTACAGCCACGGTGATCCTTTTTCTATATCACTAGTTAACAAACACTGGTTTCTGAAATCTCATCCATATCTGCGTATCAATCCACCTTATATGCACCACGAGACAGGTACAAGCCAGTAGAGGGGCGTAACGCTCGTGGGCAACCCCTTGGCCTAATTTGGTCTTGATCCATCTCAATTTCGGCTGAGGTCTTGAATCCGAGACCGTTCTCTATCCGCCTGTCGAAGGGAGGACGTTTTCTTGAGCATGCGAGTGACAGTTTCGGACGTCCGACAGTCGCCCGAAAGCCCTTCGACAGGTTCGACAGAGGTGCCGGCGATTTTTCATCTATTAGAAAAAGGAAAACCCTCAAAAGTTTCCATCGAGCCAGGGAAGATCAATGTATGTCAGGCTTCACAAACGAGCAAGCTATCAACGCCACATACGAGGGCGAGAAGTTGGACATCCGAAGGAGACCAAGTGACCGTGGATAACAATGGATCTTAATATATTAAGGGATATGAGAGACCCGTGGCCCTTTACGCATTGTTCAGAAGAAGTTCCGCGCCTACCAACTCCTGGTACTGTGGGATAACGCCAAAGTTATGAACCGGAGACTTGTCGTCGACCTACCGCCCATCCGAACACACCATAAATTTCCTTAGGACGATGTGAGCAATTATTCTGCGTTGGGCGTGCTTTTTAGATGTATGATTCAGAGTTGATACGGCTGGGAGTTTATAATCACCACGAGAGCTTAGCTCCCTCTCTTACTACATCGTCATACAAATTCCTAATGTGTCTTTCACTTTGTACTCATTGCCTCCGGTCCGAGGTCATGATCTGACATCAAACAAACTGCTCTCTTCTCAAGAATGCCCGCTTCAACCTTTTTCATCCTCGCTTCATACCATTTCCTATAGTCTTCCTGCCCGTTCTTTGCCTCCTCGCGATGTTTTTCCTCAAGTGGGGGAGGCAAGGTTCCTGGCAAAGGCTTGTACCACTGTTCTTTCGGCGTCTTTGTCCCATCGACTCCGCGGAATACCTTGACGGCTTCCTCGCTGTATGGCAAGCGATCAAGCATAGCCTTGATGAGAGGTGGTGGGAAAGGAACTGCATCGACAACATCGCGATCAGCAGTGAGGGATCGGTGGATTCCGTCTCGGCCGAGATGGCTTATGCCCATGCCCGTTGGGTCATGCTTCATGGTGGCCAAGATATCTTCGAGTTCTTTTTGGGCGGGATCCAGGTCTTCATATTCCACGCGCCTGCTCCCAAGTGGAAAGGTACACTCAGTTATTTTGTTGTCGTTTTCGTCAGCTTGTTCAGTCATGATGGTGATAAACGGAAAGGCAATAGGTTCGATATCAGTTGTTGGCATTACAATTCAACTTCAGACTGCTTTTATACAAGATCTGTTGGACGCGTCGTCGTAAGAGCGCTTATTCTTTGACCAACATGTGATAGATCCTTCATTCTAGACTCGGGTCTTTTCAGGGGTCATGGTAGATCATTGCCTTGCCTACTTCTGGCAGGTTGAAAATGACGACACTCGACATTCAACATCAGATCATTTCTTTTACCGTATGGTTCGAAAGAGGTTGAAAACCAACAGCCATGCACATGAGCATCAGTTCTCGTGAGAATGATGGACGGCAACGGTTTGCCGTGAGCACCTGGGCACCTCAAAGTCCTCTGGACCATACCATTTGTAGCCAGTATGGTTTCGGATTTTCAGCTAGGATCAGAAGCCGAGAATCGACCAACTGAGAACCGTTTTCATAACGGAATTGTTCTCTTCGGAGGAGAGCGGTATCCCAATTGAGCAATTCCACAACTCCGCAAACCCCTCACGGGCTTTCTTTTCTCAGCTCCGTTATTTTCGTTGGACGGAGTCCGAAAGTGGCACGATGTTGGAGTAAGCACTAAACCTTTCCAGCTGCGGAGTTACCTCTTTCGTCATCATCCAACCAGTGCGAATATTCCGTAAACCTCAACCTTAAACCACGATGTCAGGAGATTTTAAACTTCACTAGATAATTTTTCCGATGTCGATCGCTTCGGGAGGCTCCGCGAATTGAGTTTTATTGGACAAAGATCTTGAGATCTAAAGCCAGCGTCATGAATCATAGTCACGTTGTCAAGTTTGCTACGCTACTCAGGTCTTCTTAGCTGAATTGGTTACAAGGTTCAGAGATCGTCAGCCCTGGAAGGATGAGTGCGTTAACTGGCCAATAATTGATTGAGTTGAGAAAAGTTACTCTTGACGAATGACATCAATACCTCGGTTAATGCTGATAACGGCTTCAGATCATCGCGTATTAGAATTTAAGTTACAGTTATGATGTCTATCCTGCCGAGGGTATGTGACTACTCCCACTATCCCGCATCACATCCCATTGACCAGCCGGACACCACGTGAGCCACTTGACGATCGAGTCAGATCAGCAAAGTCAGTCAGGCCATCTGCAGTGGCACAAACGTTACTCAAAACGGGCTCGCCCTGTGCTCACCGTTGAGATAATCCATCAATGACGGCTTCTTCATCCGCTGGGGAAGACGGTGGCCTTCAGTGTCAGAACCTGGACGATCCGAACTGGCACCGGTGATGAGACGAGGTCCAAGCTTGAGAGCTGCCTTCTTCGCAAGGTCGAGTGCAATTGGTCCAAATTTTTGAACCACATCCTTTATGGCATCGAAGAGACTCGCGTCGTCGCCATCTCCGTTGGCTGGCCTGAACCGGTCTAGCTTTTCGCGGGGGAGGGTCATTACGGCTTGAAGAGCCGCATCTGCTAAGACAGCACGTTTGATCAAGATCCGGGTCGCATCCTCATTTGCGCTAGAGGTGGATGCCTCGATGGACAGCCCCTCCCGGTCAAGTAGGCCTGAGAGAGCCGCAGAGGCGGGCTTAGACGTAAGAGGCTTGGACTCAGAGACCGCGGTAATGAGCACGGGGCCAAGCCATTCGGAAACGTCTCTTCCCCCCTCGAGTTGTCTAGTTGGACCCAATATGCCTTGGATAAAGGCAGCTCCTCCGTCCATCGCAGCACTCTCTGTGATGTCGACCTCCAAGCGACGACGGCCACGGAAATTTGGTCTCTTAGAATCTTCGTCCTCTGGACCAAATTGGTCTGACAGTTCCACACCGCATTGACCTAAGATGGGAGTAATAGAAGGAGCGAGAATTTCAGCCTTTGGTGCTCCAGCTTTCCAAAATTGCCCCATCTTGTTGATCACCTCTGTCACATGCTCATCGTTCTCTGATGCAAGGATTGCTTGCAAAGCAGCTTCAGCGAGGATCGCACGTTCGGCGGGACCATTTGCTATGATTTCAGTGCTCTGAGAAAGCGTGCTCTCTGTGAGTGATCCAAGCAGAGTTCCGACTACTGCACTAAGAGGACCACCGATGGGACCGAGGAAAGTAGAAGGAACGGGGAAGCCATTTCTTCCCACATTGGCTACACTTTTCAGTGTATCAAAGAAGCTTTCTTCATCGAATCTTGGGGTTTCAACAGCTATGCTGGGGCGGCCTCTATTGAGACCGTGAGGCTCATTGATGCTTGGCTGGCAGGAATTAGAAACGTGACAGATTGAGGCAAAGTACTCACTGCTCGGTCTTGAGTTTGAGCTTGGACGACTTGGACCTTGCCAACTTCGCCAAAATTCGTCCTCCTGTCAAACAAACTGATCAAATCGTTGTAATTGTTACCATGGGCGTTTCCGATCGTAGTACCTGAGTTACTGTCAAAACCACCGCCACCATAGCTATGAGTTCCAATTGCAGTGAGTCGCCCATCGGAGTTGCGCAAGACTGGCGCGCCAGCTTGTCCTAATCAAGTGTCAGCATTAATTCGAGAAATGCCAGTTGGGAAACAATCGTACCTGCGAAAGTTGAGATAGAATATTCGACCATATGGTGGGGACTTTCTCCAATGTTATAGTCACTCCTGGCAAACTCCTCGTACATCTGAGCTCCTTGTTCATCCTGTAACATCCGATCGCCGGGATATCCGACGATGCCCAGGTATATGCCATTGCCTGTCTGTGGGGTATTGAGGTAACTGAAGAGTCGTAGATTGCCCGTGAAAGGCCTGTCAAGTTGAATGAAAGCAACATCCTGTTGGCGGTTGCTCGAAGCCTCAATCCACCCAGCAGGGGTCACAACCTTGGCGCCATATCGCGCCTGGACTTGAGGTGACCTGACAGACTCTTTGCCATTGTAGCCAATGTAGCACTTGATCTGATCAGCTGGGCCAAGCCTGCGTCCCCAGTCATAGGTAACATGACCAGCAGTAACAAGGAGGTCGGGACGAATAAGCCATCCGGTTCCCATCATCCAAGTTTGACGCCCTCGGTCTTGGAATCGGGACTGAATCTTCACAATGGCTGCAAGTCCTCAATCAGTCATTCATCAATCTTTTCTCTTCAGTAGCAACGTACAGCGATATTTCCCGCCTTCTTGGATATCGCGGGAGTCAACCAGTTGGCGCAGGTCTTCTCCGATGATAGACTCTGAGCTTCCCTTGCTTCCGTCATCTGGAAGAATGACGTGATCAGCGGGCTGACTGGATGAAGGAAGTGAGAGCGCCCAAGTAGCGGCGCGACTGGGCCCCAAAAAGGCCATTGCTGATGTATTGAATGAATGGTAGTGAAGTCGTGGTTTTACGATGAGTTTTGAGGTCCAAGTTTAGCATAAGAGTATTGCAAGATTGAGGGTAGTCTATCTGTGTTATGAGGAAAGCGATCTCTTTATCTATTTGAGCAAGCAAAGGGCCAATTGCCTCCTGCTTTTATGCCATGGAGCTCCAGCTGGGCCTTTTTAAATAGTTTCATGCACAAAGAATGCTCTACATCGAATAGTTTATGTCTTTCGCGATTCACATCTCAGCTTGGCGAGATCTAGACCGAAGAAAGTTATCAGCTGGCCAAAAGAGGGAGCCCAAACGCCACCGCTAACCTACACCAGACAAGCTCCATTCGTCTTCTCCGTCTGTTTGGCTGGGCCGATCATTTCAGCCAGCCATAATCTGTCTAATTATGGATAATTGACTGCGGCTTAGGAGCAATGAGGTGAATGCTGAAGCAAATGTGATGTGATTAATAACAGTGCCAAGATCTGAGCTGGCGCCCCCCTCAAAGGGCAAGAAAACACCGAACCTTAATGTAGGGTGTCAAATTAAACTTGGCAAAGAGTCCCTAAGCTTAGACTAGATTTACCTTAGTATTTTTATCGCTTGGGGTCAAGGTCTTACAAGTAAGTTTTCTTTCCTCCCCTGCGCCGCCATGGTGCATCTGTAATGGCACCTACTTCGCTCAGCAAGACCTGCTCGAGCTTGTAACCAGTGGAGAATGTCACATCAAAATGGTTAAAATATCTGATCAATGTTTGAGAACGTAGCGAAAATGATATTATGCAGAAAATGCTACTAAATACAAGGATATAATATGCTCTTTTGGGTTATGTACTTCTTCGCACCCTTGCGAAAACAATTTTAAAATGCAACGTCCGTTCCAATCGTTACTCGCCGGGCAGTCCGGCTGCATGTCTATAGTTTGTCCGTATCCGTAACTTCTATAGTGATGTGTGTGCGTGAATGATGTGAGTTGTGAGTCGTGCGTGTTGTGATGAGGTGTTTGCTGATGATTGTTTACGAAGAGGCCTCTTCGTCGGTGACACCCTCACGAGCGTGCTTGGGGCCATGGGGCTCGCCAACCCACTTGGAAGAAGTGATGGGGTTGACGTGCTGGACGTACATGGTGTCGATCTCCTCGAGGGTTCGGTCCTTGGACTCGATGACGAAGAAGAAGACGATGGCAACGAGGGCAGCACAACATCCGGCGTAGACGAGACCGTAGAAGTAGTCAATGGCATCAGTGATGAATCGAGTGCTGGGGATTGTTAGTGAATGCTCAATGGGAAGCGTAATTATGAGATAACTTACAAGAAACCGATGAGGAAGTTGAAGAGCCAGTTAGCAGCAGTAGCGAGAGCCATGCAGCGACTGCGGTATTGAGAAGGATACATCTCGGCGACGACAGCCCAGACAAGAGGACCCCAGGTGGTAGCAAAGGCAACAATGGCCAAGCAAGAGAAGGTAACGAGAACGGTACCGGCGGCGGGGGTGTTGAGAGGGTTGGCGCGGTCAAGAGCGAAGTGTCCGACGAAGGCGTAGATGAAGAAGCACATCATCATCCAGGCGGCGCCGATCATCAGGGACTTTCTGCGACCGCACTTCTGAACAACGTAAAGACCGCCGAATGTGCAGGCACAGTTGACTGAACCGAGAATGAGCTGGGTGACGTAGCTGTCCTTGAGACCAGTGGAGGCGAAGACAGTGGTACCGAAGTACTGCGATAGTTAGTAGTGCGACGATGGGATGAGGCTGTCAATTGACTTACGAAGAAGAAGTTAATACCAGTGAGCTGCTGTCCGGCCTGGAGAGTGATACCGAGGATGGTACGGTAGGCCATGCGGGGACCAGTGAAGATCTCAATGAGGCGGGTCTCGGGCAGAGCCTGCTCCTCCTCGAGCTTCTCACGGATGTCGTCGATCTGTCGGTTGACGCTAGGGGCGTTGATGTCGAGGCCAGCGAGGTCGGCAATGGTCTTGCGGGCTTCCTCGACCTTACCCTTTCGGTAGGCATATCGGGGGGACTCAGGAAGGAAGAGGATACCACCACCGAGAATCAGAGCCCAGAGGAAGTTAAGACCGTTGGGAATTCTCCAAGAGGAGCTACCGGCGTAGTCGTTGGTGCCCCAGTTAACCATCTCAGCAGTCCAGATACCCAGGGTGACGAAAAGCTGGTAGCAAGAGACGATGAGACCTCGAATGATGGCGGGAGCACTCTCAGACTGATACATGGGAACAGCGACGGAGAGAGCACCAATACCGACACCAGTGACGAGACGACCGATAGCATGTTGGTACCAGGCGTGTTGAGAGGCGACCTCGATGACAGTTCCGACACAAGTCCAGAGAGCAGAGATGGAGATAGTCTTGCGGCGACCAATTGAGTCGCAAAGGTTACCAGCGATGAGAGATCCGAACAAGCAACCAATTGATAGAAGACCGGTGATTGTTCCCTGTCGGGCTGCACTGAAGTTGTATGTGCCGTCGCCATTGGGTTCGCCGAATCGCTCGCCATAGTCCTTCATCATGAAGTAACCAGAGATCTGACCGCTGTGACATTGTTAGTAAGCTTTTTTTTTTTAAGTGAACAGAATGCATGAAGCTGCGATCGGGGCAGATAAGGTTGTAGGCGCGAACTTGAGGCTCTCACCACCCAGCTTAGACAGACACCAACCATATCCGCCGCCATCAATGGCTTCAAAAATAAAGAATGCACTAACCTAGTGTATCCGAAGAGGAAACCACCACAAGATGCTGTTAGACCGAGGAAAACGGCCAGGGCAGTGATGCGACCATCGGTATCGGGAGAAGGCTTCCTCTCGAGATGCTGACCTTCGCCAGCATGTTCATGGCGTTTACTACCAAAGAACTTCATATTGGGAGTGGTTGTTAGACCAATTGGTCAATTGAATGTTGTATGTGTGTGATTGATGTTGTGAAAGTGTTGTACACAAAAGCTGTGATGAGCCAGAAGAGAGATTGAAGCAGCGAAGAGGTGCCATTTTGACTGTCTTTATTGTGGAGATGATCGTCGAGGGCCATCGCGGGCACCGAGAGACCAAGGCCATGCCAATGGGTCCATCTCATGACCTCTGATGGTCATGCTTTGAGCGAAAACTCAAACCCCGGGGGGCTCAGGGAAACGACTTGCGGAGACTGACGTGGGTGAGCTAAGGTTTGTGGACTCGGGACCAAACCTTGGAGAGGAAGCGGAGCAACTGTGAATAGAAGGCCCGTAGAGTCACGTCATGGGAAAAAAGAGTCGAACTGTGTGAGGTAAGCATTCCTGTGCTGGGCATCTCACCACGCTTTCATCGACAAACACACCCCGTGGGCTGATTGGTCTAGCGGAGGTCCCCTAGTCGCGCTTAATCCAGATTCATCTCCGTTCAGAAAACGGTGGATCGATGTGAGAAGCAACGTACGTGGGGTGACATTGACAATTTTTTTCTCTCTCTAGCTCTGCCTGGGCCTTTCTACTACCGGCGCCTTCGGCATTGATGACGCACTTTGGACCCTGTGAGATGAATAATGGAACCACTTTGATCCATATTTTTGTTCCAAGGATCCAGTTTTTGCTTCCATTGGTCTTCTGGTCGCATCTCTTGGCGCGAAGATCTTCGGCAGAGCCTGCGTCGACGGGAATACGCAGACCTTCAAGGTGAAGATACTGAGGTGAAGGACAGTCTCTGGAGAGACAGACCGTATTGCATTGCTGATATCTAATTTACTACACGTCCATCGATGAATTGCAATCTCCCCTTCTCGCCCCGACACTGCTAGTCAGCTTCCTCATATTTCCGGTGCTCGCCTCGTCCGCTGAGCAGAGCCCCATTCACATGATATGACACCGAGAGTCGCCGAATCGGTCGGTCCGACTGATGATTGGCACGTCGGGCTCGCGCAGATTTTTTATTTCCGAATGCCAGATTCTGGTGTTTCTCCCTCTCGAATTCCTGGTTCTGATTGTGGCCAAAAATGATGTTATTGTCACGGCATTCATCTCCCGTCAGATACCGCATCTGATCTGATCTTTTAACGGTATTTCCGGCAACGCCAAATCGCCGGTTTATTTCCTTCATTCTCGTGAGGTTTATTTCGTTGTCTCTCGTAATGGTACTCAATGGTCTAAACTCGGCCAAATGTCTCGAGCCTTATCCACGCACGTTAGAGACTGGCCGAATCGAGCGGAGCATGCTCAGCTATAGAAGCTCCATTGCCAGAACAGAGTTCATGGATTGGATGGCAGCGTCGCTGTGCTCGGTCATTTTTGGGTCCAGCGATAAGCCTTGGAAACTCAATTGGAACAAGACAGAAGATCAAGACAGGGCATGCGATGGTGCGAGATAACACCGAGCAGGCATTATCTGTTATCTGCGACAAAACAACCCAACACAGCAGGTAGAGAAACATGCAATTAATTGTCGCGACTTGTGTATTTGAATCGCATCCATCACCAATTGTCGTCGAATTAATCGCCACGCGCCAACATACACAAACTCGACATGGCACAAAGAATCGTTCTCGAACCTCCCGTGCCTTGTTTCCATTCCCGCAGAGCCTCCTTTACCCCTGGACCCATGGCATCATAACATAAAAATCACCCGCCCATGCTAATGCGGCTCTGCAACGGCGGAACACGATACCGTATCCACACGGGCCGAAAAAAAGAGGCACTCGGCGATACTCGATGCGCATTCCCACTTATAATTAGTGGATGCTATTCGGACCCGAATGTTTGAGCCGTCCCATCCAAGCCAGGGCCAAGGAACAGTGTAAAGTTAACGGAGTGCGGAGCCCGCGCAACATGCACATGCACGGCAATTAATCGCGGAGAGAGAGAAAAAAAAGTTACAGATCGTGGGTGATGGATGATACCTTGGAACGGGGTCTAGAATATGGAGGATATCGGAATCTTTTTGACAAGAACAGTCGACAAAGGCCTGATCTTGACTATCTTGTCGGATGACGTTTGCAGTCTTTGTTTCGGAGACTGCCATAGTCTCTTTTACTATGACAAACCAGCTGAAATGCAATATACATGAACCGAGATTAATATCACATGCGGTAAAACTATTCAAGTCTAGACACGAGATCAATATGCACTTGATCAAATGACCAACTGTAACATTTGACTAGCAGATTCTTCTTAGGAAATTTTGTATACATAATTGAGGCTTTTACTATGTTAGACCATTGAACTCTATGTCTGTTGACGTCGTGCTGATCTTCACCTCTAAATCTCTCACCTCAAAACACCTCCAACGTCTCACCAGTCCAAACCTTCTCGAATCTCTCCGTGTTGCTAATCCCCTCAATCTCCATCCGGGGATAACCTGCCAGCACGCACGCAACCCTCCCCATCCCACAGGATAAACGCTCCCCCGGGTCTCTCTCTCGGTCTTACCCACAGGTCGCGTATCCGCCTCATCGTCCTCTTTTGCTTCCCCAGTCCAGTCCCCTTCATGGGGTGTGTAGGTATTTCGCCGAGAAGCTGTTGCCTCCCCCAGAGCCACTCCTCCTCCTCCACAGACCTAAGCCCCCCCTTTTTTTCCTGCAGACTTCTCCTGACGAGCTTATCGGTCCTTTGGGACGAGAGAGACCGCGGGCAAGCGAGGTTTTACATCCCGCATCCTCCGCATTTGTGGGAGATACTGCGGGCGGTGGGAAATTTTTGCAGTTCACATGAGAGTTTCCAACATACGATCTCGGGGCAGGCATCTGGTTGGAGTTTTCGTAGGTATTCTATATGCAGAAGGTGAGAAGGTATCATATCATTGCTTCACCCTTGTAAATCTGGGCGTATCAGTCTGAGTAGTATCGAGGTCTCATGAGGGCTACCCTGCACATGCGCCTGGAAGGACACTGAGATAAAGAAAGAAATTCAATTTGAAGCAAAGATGTTTTAGGTGAATTAATAAGGGAAGCTTTCTTCACGCCTACCGAGGGACAGTTGTAGTTCTGCCCGATTGGCTCGTAAATGCACATGCCCTTTTCCTCCTGACAAAGACAAGAGCTTCATAATCACAAAACGACAACCAGACCTTCCAATATTGTTGTGAGATCTTATTAACTTCCAACTACATTGATGACTGACCCCAAGCCCCTGAGTTGACAGTTTGCAATGAGCCTCGTGTATCGGATATAATCCAATGCCTATCAGCTCTAAGATTCCATATTATCGAGAAACATAACTTCCCAAGCCATGACTATATGATATGTTAGAGCGGACCCACGATATATCCGGAGATCTAGGTAAAGAGTCAAGCCACAGATCGTGTCTCCATCAAGATCTAATCTACCTGCATGACGATGTGGCTCCCTTGTCATCTTTACACAGCCACTCCACATATGAAGATCATACGATCCGGATCGTTTAAGCTTTTTATTCTGAAAATGGACGTCTCTAGTCTCACTTGCTAGCTGGCATTATTCTTAGGCTTTCAAGGACAGCACGTAGTTGCGTCGAGGCAATCTCCATGTTCTTGATAATGATATGCGCCTCAAATTATTAATATTTCTTCAGTCCTTTAGTCTGCATTTTACAAAGCTTCTTATGGTTCAAATGCCCAATCATCTAAACATATTTTGCCGATACTAAGGTACACGTCTCATCTCTCGCTACCACCACCGCTACACCCTTTCTCCTCTCTTTGCAGAACAAATATGGAGCTCCCAACATGAGAAGAAACAGAGCCTCAAAACCATGAGCTGAGGGGGCTCACAATTGATCGATGCGGTCCGCTGAGGTGCAGGGTTGAGAGGAGGTCAAGGGAAGCTTCAAGCCTGAGCTTGGTAAAGGCATGTTTTTGCTTCCATACCAATCTATAACATACCGGTACAAAATTGGCTCTTGAGTACTAACCACAAAGTGCTATATACTAAATGCGGGACATCATATTACAAAGTGCGTCTAACATCTTTCCTCTGTCTCAGTGTTCCTCCTTCCACTCACGTAATATTCTCGCATTTTCTGTGCAGCCCGTCAGCTTCGCCAACATCTCTGCGTCGGCAACATTCTGTGTAGTCTCAACTTTGGGCTGAGCTCCCCTCTCAAGTAGCCACCTCACTACATGAGCTCCGTTCTCCTTTACGGCAGCATAGCATAGAGGAGTTCCCCAATGGTAAGCACGATATGGTACAGTCGAGTCCATCGAGTTGATGTCCAGTTTCATCTCATCCACAAGAAACATCAACATTTCTGCTCGCTCCTTTCTGGTCCTGGCTTCATCTCCAGCTATCTCATCATGGACTTCTTGATAAGTGAAAGGGTCTGCACCGAATGTTGCTGCCTCCCCGGCTGCTCGGTGAAGCGTCCGGTGGCCCAGCAATGCCCCGTTGCTATGTAAGAACCGGAACGTTGCAACAGAGCCTCTGACAGCGCACGTCTCTAGTAATGGAGCTGGCTACGGGAAGAGCTCATAGAGGTCCACCTCGCCATATGTGACCAGTGCGCCATGCTCAACCAACCAGCGAACCAACTGGTGATCGTCGCAGACGAGGTCGATTAGCTTATCGCCCCGCTTAAGGGATCTGTCAGCTTCAGCCTTGTTGAGATCCCAGCCATGGGCCACAAGCAGTTCAACAAGGGGGATGGAGGAGTTTGCGGCGACAGCAACAGGCGATAAGGACTCAACAGGTGCCCTTTCACACTCTAGAAGATATCTCACCAGGTCGATGCATCCGTGGCGGACACACCGTCCCAGTATTGATGGAAGCAGTTCTTGAAGAGAAGAAAAAAGTTGAGAGTCGGCTTTGATCATTTCCATAGCGACGATGAGCTGCGATAAAGATCTTTCCCGGATTGCCTTATTGAGCATGCGACGGGGATTTGGAGACTGCATCGCCTCACTTCTGTGAGAGATGGCACTATAGTGAATGGTCTGGTGGTAATGTTTTTGTGTATTCAACTAAGTTCATCGATAGAAGATGCCGAATTCCTGTTCTCTCCTTTGACCTCACTTATAACTAAATCCACGATACTTTCGTCTCCAATGAGGAACTGAGCTATGAGAGAAAACTCAATACAATTCGCAAGGGCTAAAGATCTCATGCTAAGAGCTGGGATCATCAGAAAATTATGCCAGATGTCACACCTGAAACAGGGTTAAAGCTTAATTGTTTTCCCGTCTTCCCATCTTATCTGATTCTGCCTTCATTGCGTAACTGTTCTAGCTATTTCAAGCAGGTCATGCTGTCGGTCCGACATTTATACTTCAATACCCAGTACACGTACATCAGCCTGGTAAGGTACTGTTTGGGACGCATACTGTCTACGCGTCTACGCCTAAGGACAGGCATGGCTACAGCCTCGACCAAATTCTGCTATAGATCGAAGTAGTGGGACATACCCGATTGAGTGTTAATACCAGACTACCGTGCTGCCTCCTTATATATAGTATAAACCACTCGGTGGGCTTTTCTGTTTGCCTTACTCATAACGAACTTAATATATCGTTTATGTTTATAAAAGAACTGCTAATAGCAAAACTCTGGACCAGTATCGACTTTTGGCGCAAAGGCTTGGCGACACAGAAAAGATGAGGTTCTTGTTAAAGATACTCCAGATATCTCGTCAAAATTACATGAAATGAGGTTTATGCCATCCACGTTTCGTAAGGACACTGAGTCTAGACGCAGTTCTTTGAACGGATTTTACCGACAGACTTTGTTGGACAAATTTTAATCCGACTACCACCAAATGTTGAAACAGAGATATGTCTGTGCTCCCCCTGCACAACCCAAGCCTGTCCAGCTGACGCACCCATGGATAGCATGAATCTGTGTTTTGCTTCGAAATATTCTTGGCACATGGCAAGGGTCAACTTAGATCGGTCCAACGTCTTCGTATAGTCTCCCAATGAAGTTGTAGAGTAGGGGAAGTCGGCTTCACCGAACAAGATCCCCTTGAATATCAGAATAGAGTTGAGCTCGACTTCGGCATCAGGGAGCAAGAAAACTAAGAACACATATCATAAGTGACAAAAGATTTTGCTAGACTTAGTATAGACTTGCAAAGCATCTACATTGGGTATTTTTGTCATTTAGGGATATATCAAATAGACCCTAAGATTTCTTGGACACCCTAGTTCGGCAGTTAGAAACTTCTGTATCCTATGACTTGCCCAGTACCATAGCCTGTATGGCAACCTCTGATATATATATTGTGGTCAATAGTCCTCAAATTCGAGACTCATCAGCAGTCATTCTTTCATTACAACATTCTTCACTCTTTTCTCATAACTCTCACTCGCATTTACTTTCACCTTCACTTTCACTTAGGCCACCTTCATCATGGTCCGCCTCGCCACTCTTTTCCTCTCTTTGGCTTGCTCTGCCTTGGCCTCTCCCTTTGTGAAGCCATCCGATTCATCCATATCTGATGTCAGTGACGTTGGGTATGCCATTCATGAGAGGGCCATCTCGAAGGTAATCACGAAACCCACCATTGTCTGTGACCTGACTTGCAAGGCCTGCTTAGCCAAACCTGCCCCAAAGAAAGGCAAGGACGCAGGCAAAGGCAAGACCACTGGTAAGGGCAGAGGTAAGGGCAAGGGCAAGTCTATTCCTCGCTCTCTGGTACTTGGAGAGAGATCTTTGGATGACATCGAGGACCTCTGGGGTACCGATGCAACCGCGGCAAACGAATATGTCATGGAGCAGATTGACAGTGACACTGGAAGTGTCAACGAGTTGGACTGGAACCTAATTCAGCATGACGCTGTCTCAGGCCAAGGATCTTGGGCTGAAAAGCCGTTGCGAAAGTATATCCGGGGTCTCATGGGGTAAGTGATGCACCAAGTTTATAATAAAATGATCATAAACTACTCTGAATATCTTCACTACTTAGGATCAAATCCTAATGCCAACTGTCGGGGTTACTTTATTAACATGATTTTAGCTGCACTGGCATCGTCATCGTCTCTGACAAGGGTTACTGGTTCGCTCATTTTGTAAGTCTTTTGTTAACTCAATGTCTTCTTCGAGTTCAAGATACTAATTACTATAGATGGAAACTGGTTTCCTCAATCGCGGCGACAACTGGGAGAAAAAGATCATCAAGCCTCTCCAGCAGGGTACCAACAAGTTCACCACCCCGAGGTCTCTGGCCGGATCTGGTGGCATTCTGAATAAGGCAAACAACGTCAAGATCTACGTCTCAACCCCCCGCACCAAGACATCCACCGAGCAAAACCCAGTCCTCTTGTACAAGGCCAAAGTCGATGAGCTTCTGTCTCATATCACTGGACGAGGCGAGCCTTTGAACGGTGTTCAGGTCATTACCCGTGGTTATCTCAAGCCCCAGAGTGAGGCAGAGGTTGAGGCGTTCCATAACAGAGCCAATGGAAAGGTCCTTATCGAGTACGACAACAACCAGCTGGATGTCAACGGAAAACAGCCCAACCCTAGAGAGCGCATGTACCGTATCTGGCTTGAGCACAAGTACTACGAGCACAGGTTCCGCTAAGGGGATGTATTTAGATAAAGGAGGGGGTTTTGCTTCGTTCGACGATTTTCCCCCTTGTCTATCTTTGGGGCGCCAAAATTAACTAGTCTACTGAACCCATACTGAATTTAATAATTGTATACTAAAACTTGCCCAGTTCTACAGTGAATGTGTCCAAGTCTTTTTTTCATGTAGGGCAAACTCATCTAGTCAAGTAAACATCCGTGTCCTCCACTAAATTTGGGCGTGAGCCGCTGTTCTTTCGGGCCAGATAATTGATCATATAGGTGCCGTTTGTGGCTGGAAATACCTTCCGCTGTCAACTCGACCAAAGAACAATGCTGGCTTGTACATGAGATGAGATGGTTCTCTCGACACTGCAATTCAATTTTCATCCATTGACTGGCAAGCCAAAGGGGTTTGGCGACATTTTCAGAACCCCTGCAAATCGAGCCGGGGTTGTGGTTGTACCCCCAATCAGAACCCGCCGATTTTCAGCTATGCTAAGATTGTTGCCACGACAACGCCAAGTAAACAGCATCAACTCCAGCATCAGATCAAGCAATTGAACATGAATCAACAATTAAGATAGCACAACCACTCGCTATCGTGCGCAAAGACAATGTCGCTAGAGAATCGGATACAACTCTGGCTACAACAGATCCAAACAGGCTCGGCATCCACTCCTCAGGCCAGACAAGGTCCAAAGCGCCGTCGCTTAAACCTCCCGTCCCCAGAAGCCTCGCAAGGTGACGACAGTATGGCTAGTCCCAAGAAGCACACTCTCACCGACCATGACGATGAATTCGAAACCCCTCGTCCATCAAGACGGATAAGGACACCGAGGAGTGAATCCGGCACCTCTCTACCTTCGACGCAGTCAGCATCACAAGCATCAGGCCGATCCTCGCCGACCAAACAACTCCGTGCGCTTGCGCTCAACAGCAGAGGCGTCATCACCAGAGAACTCAGCGCCTTTCCCAACATGCCAAAATCCTTGGACTCTCTCCTCGAGAAGATTGATCTCGCCTCATCAGGCGTTGGAATCCTTCCTTCGTCTCAACGTTCCGTATACGGGGAATTCAAGTGGGCTAGACAGCCCATTCTAAGCAAATTCCTCTTTTCGGACGATCGTGGCAATCTTGGGCATACGCCAACGCCTGAAGCTATACAGTGGATTCTTCACGAGGCTGCCTATTGCAATAGTAGAGGTTGTTCGGAGGTAGATTGGAACGTTGAAGTTCATCATCGTGTTCTTTCTGCTGCTCTGAGACCGTTGCAGGGTCCAAGGAGTGACCAGTTCTTTGATTTTCGACTCAGGTGAGCACATTCAATGGAGGAAACCTTGCAACTTCTAACTGTCTTAGCACAACCGCTTCAATCATCACCGAGTATCATGTGACGTCAGCGTCTAAGAAAGTTGACTTTTGCATGTATCTCGATCCAAAGCAGGATGAGTCTGCCCAAGTTTCAGAGACCATTGATGCCCTAAAGGATATCCTCCCTCTCGGCATGTTCAATCACACAAATTTAGCACCCCTCTCCGACAATCCCATCGCCGTCAGCATCGAAACCAAGAAGACAGGCGAAGGCTGGGAGAACGCCAGGCTTCAGATGGAAGTCTGGATGGCGGCCCACTGGCAGTTCCTCCGACAATTAGTCTCGTTGCGACAACGTGCACAAGAGCTCACGACTGCCAACGAGAAGATATGGAACTTGCCCGATTTCATACCTGGCATTATCATCCAAGGACACGATTGGCATCTTATCATCACAACACCAGAGGGAGAGAAGACGGTTTTCTGGCAGAAGAAGAATCTTGGAGATACATCAAGCTCGATGGGAATTTGCAAGATTATATATAACTTACAGCTGTTACGGCAATGGGCCCAAGAGGAATATTGGAAATGGATGAGAGAGCTGTTGCTGGAGTGGCCACAAATTGACGGGAAATTGATTGTTTGAGTTTTTGTGGATTTGGAAGCAAGCGTGATGAGATTTGATATGATACCCTACAAAAATGATTTCCGGAAAACTATCCCTGGCTTCTGCACTGTTGATAGAGTGACATGGCCTGACAAAAATAGCTTGTTGTTTACCTGTTTTCTCTCCACGCAACAAAGCAGGATATTTCCAAATGTTAAAATAGGATGCCACGGTTCAGAAATTTACCCTGACCTCAGCTCCGCGATTATTGATTCTTAGGCATCTGATAAACCAAGACTGAACTGGAACTTCAAGCTAAACTGTGATGCTTTGGTCGCCTGAAGATCGCCATGTCAGTCCATCATAACCGGACTTCGGATTGAAAAGCACGCTGATGACCCTCTGGAGGGAACCCATTCAGAGACTGTCCAATCGGTGCGGCTGATGAATCAAGAACATCAAGTCACAGAACAAGGCCCTCTGATGCAAATGCTCTTAATATCTATAAAATGTGAACTTAGACTGCAGTCGCCTGGCCTGGTGGAAATAAGACTGGACCAGTCGGAGCAGAAGACAGTATCAGCCTATATCGATTGCATCTAGAAGAGAAACACTCTGTGAAGTAAAATAATAGTTCGCCGGGCCCCGTATCAGCTAGAGACGTGTATTTTGGGAAGCAAACTTGTATGGACGCAAATTCAAAGAATTTTCCTGTACTCAAGCGCATCATGCACCTGTCACGCGATTCGTGTCAAAAACACATTGCCAAGTCGCAGGGTCCTGTCGGCAGTTGCCCTTGGCGCGTCCCATGCTGCTGGGACCATTTGGCGGCCCTGTAGGTCTTCCAGCGTATAGCCTATGGCCTATATGATCAACAATTTGAAACAGCGCTCTTAAGATCTCGAGAAACATGAGGTTTCTGTATCGTCTCTCTGTTCACACAACCATCTAGAGCTCTGAAGCTTTCGGGTACATATCTAGTCCCCGAACCGAGAATCGGATATCACCGCTGCCCCCAAAGTATCTCTGGTATCCAAGCTTGTTGCGGTCTGAGTAACCTTAAAGCTTAAGAAGGAGAGACTTTGTTTATTCACTCAAGCCTAGAACACTGCAGGGTTATGGTCAGATACAACACGACGATCGCTGGCCTCTCGTAGGTGCAAAATTATTCCTCACGGCTACACGGCTTTTAACCACGAGGATCAGACGTTACTACATTCCATTATGCCCGTGGAAGATCCGCATCGAAACTCAAAGTCGTTCATATTCCAGGTAAGCTTAATTGGTGGACACGTCACTAAAAACAAGCATGATCGAAATTCCACCAATCTCGCCCCGTTACTTTCATCCAGCCTTACTAGTTTCATCTTCCCCATGCTCATATTGGGGGTAGTATCTCCATTACCCCAGACTTCGGGTCGTCGTGCAGCTGATCATATCGAGCAAGTTGAGCAGAAAATCAGGTCACTTGATTGGTCTCCGCAAATAAAGAGTCGAGACGGAGAATTATGACTTTTTATTCCTCGAATGAGAATTGAGTCTGGTTCGAGATGTAACATTGAACGGAGTTTCACTTTGGTGACTAGCTTGCCGTTTTCGGACTCGAGGATGATTATACGATGCTAATTGGTGCAATGAGCGAAAAATAGGTGCAGGGGCTTTAGAACAAAGGGGAAGATTGATTGAAACCGATATATCAAGGAGAAATAACATATAACGTTGATAAATATATAAAGGATGAGAGATCCAGAGAGCCAAGAGACTTGTTCATTCAGCATCACAACTCCAGCCTTGACTAGATACATCTTCGGGATAACCTCAACTCATTCATCATGAAGTACACTGCCATCCTCGCCCTTGCCGGCGTCTCCTCCGCCGCTGTCACCAAGACTCTCCCAAAGTCTGCTGGTGCTACTTCATTCCCTACTGCCGTTCCTGTCAAGGGCAGCTACGATGGTGGCATGAAGCGATTCGAGCGAAGCCGTAAGCCTCTTTATACCTTGTCTCCAGAACCTCTGACTAACACTCTGTCCTAGCCTCTGTTTGCCAAGGCCAGACTGAAACTGGTGAGAAGGATGCTATGTTCATTCTCGAGAACGGCGCCACTCTTTCCAACGTAATCATCGGCGCATCTCAGGCCGAAGGTGTCCACTGCAAGGGTACTTGGTGAGCAAGTTTCTCTCGACTCACCGTTTCTCATGCTGATTTTGACTTTAGCACCCTGAACAACGTCTGGTGGGCCGATGTCTGTGAGGATGCCATCACCCTCAAGCAGACCAGTGGAACTTCTTACATCAACGGTGGCGGTGCTTTCCATGCTAGCGACAAGATCGTCCAGTTCAACGGCCGCGGAACCGTCCAGATCAAGGATTTCTACGCCGAGGACTACGGAAAGCTCGTCCGCAGCTGCGGAAACTGCAAGGATAACGGCGGCCCTCGAAACGTTGTCATCCAGGGCTCTGTTGCCGTCGACGGTGGTGTTCTTTGCGGCATTAACACCAACTATGGAGACACCTGCAAGATCACCAGCTCGTGCCAGAACAAGGGCAAGTACTGTGACCGCTACGAGGGTAACTCGAGCGGCGCTGAGCCTTCCAAGATTGGATCTGGCCCTGATGGTAAGTACTGCACTACTTCCGGAGTTACCACGAGCTGCTAGACGATTGATGAAATGTTATGAGAGACGGACGGAACAATTTGGTTTACTTCTTGCTAAGAGTTTATGTACCTAAGCTTTATGTCTGTACATATTGTGAGTTTAGCACATGGCTCGCCCCCAATATCGATTGCAGTTTACTTTATGCAGAGTTGTTGAGTTTCGTGATGAACTACGTGAAAGCCTCACCGCTCCATCGAAACCATGAGTTATCTCATACGAGTCAGTGTTACAAAAGTTCATTGTCGTCACTTGATGCCTTCAACTTACACCAAGCCAAATGGACATGCACATCCGGAACGGCTCACTCGGAGGATTGCCCGGCAAATGAGCTCGGATATTCACCTAACCCTTAAAACATAGTGCTCACGACAATTCAGCCCAACCTGCGGAGCCAAGCCGTTAGCCTTACGCCTCTTCAATTGGTCAACCCGGACTAAGGACGGACTAGTTGCTTAATTGGCATGTCGACCGAAACCTGACGTGATGGCAATTGTCAAAGCTTCCCCATGTCAACAGTTCTAGACCATTGAGAGAATGAGTTAATGTTTCCATGACTGCCGATGACCCGGCATATGGTGACATACTAAGGATGGTCATCTTATAAGGTTCCGGATAGATCTCCCTTTATCGTTAGTTGTCCCGCGAAATGGATATGTTTTCAATATATTCTTGACACTTATTAGCAAATTGCTACCTCGCCCATTGAAACAGGGAGGAAGCTAAGATGATCTACGTCGGAACTTTTTCCTAGCCTAACGATTGCCTTCCATTTCTCGGCAGCAAAATATCCCTGCAGTGTATCAGTTGACGATGGTTTCAAGTATCATCAATTGCTTGTGACTGGCACTTTTGAAAATCAAAGGACCCTGATATCTTTGATTCCTGCTTGATTGAACCTGTCAAGACCTTTTGATTGAGCTATCAAGCTTATTCAGGGGAATTGTTGAAACCAACTCCCTGACTCGGAAATAGATCGCCACGCGTCGTCTCGATTGGCTGACACCCTCGGGCGATATCGTTTCAAGACAGATTAGTGCCCCAGAGAGCAGCTCTCGACTTCAATTGGCTTGCCCATCAATCTGCTAATTGGCACCCCCACTGCCCTGGCGGTAACCGATTCACCAGTCAAAACACAAAACAAGGCAGAGAATAAGGAGCCTCATTAATTATGCACTCCTTTCATCTCGTGGCAAATGGTGCTCTAAAATCTTGGATCAAGGCATCGCACGTTTCGGTTGGCTAACTCGCTTATGGTTAATTCTCATGCTATACCTCGTCAGGCACGCGATGCCTGGGATCGTCGCTCGCTTTAGGCAGGTAGTGGTTGCAGCCGGGGTCGACTATCTCGAGCGATGACGATCATCGTGGCACATGTTTGACACGATAGGTTGCGTGCCGAGAGACTACCAACTCAACATCCGATCAAGGAACATGGCTCCAAGTTGAGGTGGACGGGGACAGCTAAAGGAGAGACATCTTGAAGATAAATAGAAGCCTCTGTCTCCATCAATATCTTGTTCTCATCAAGCAACTCAGCTCTTCAGTCTTTACACCTACATTCACTCAACACCACTCTTTACAACTCACTTCATTCTTTAAGTTCTCCAACTTACAACAATCTTTCTTCAAAATGCGATCTGCTACTCTTCTCGCTCTTCTCCCCTTTGCGCTGGCCGCTCCCTCTGCTCCCTCCCGCCGGGCCGAGCCCGCTCCCATTCTTCGCCCCCGCGGTGTCAAGCTTGTCGATGGCAAGTACATCGTCAAGATGAAGAAGGGCTTCCAGGCTTCTTCCATCGAGAGCTGGGTTGACAAGATGATCGAGTCCATCGAGGCTGATGCCGATTACACCTACTCCAAGGGCTTCGGCGGTTTCGCGGCCAGCCTCAAGGATGATGAGCTCAACAAGCTGAAGCACGACCCCAATGTCAGTGATTTCTGACTCATATGGATACAACCACAAAAGATCCCAGCTAACAAGGTTTAGGTCGAGTACATTGAGCAGGATGCTTATGTTACCATCACGGCTACTACTCAGCAGAGCAATGCTCCTTGGGGCATTGCTCGCGTCTCCACTCAGAGCCCTGGTGGCAGCACTTACTCCTACGACGACAGCGCTGGTGAGGGTACTTGCGCCTATGTCATCGACACCGGTATTGATGTCGACCATCCCGTAAGTCTGAACAGATTCCAGAGGTGAAACAGTATAACCTAACACGATTGCAGGACTTCGATGGTCGCGCCAAGTTCCTCAAGAATTTTGCTGGTGGTTCCGACGGCGATGGACAAGGCCACGGCACTCACGTTGCTGGTACCATCGGTTCTACCACCTATGGTGTAGCCAAGAAGACCAGCCTCTTCGCTGTCAAGGTCCTCGGCGACGACGGCTCTGGTACCAACTCTGCTGTCATCGCTGGCATGGACTTTGTTTCTGGTCACGCCAAGGAAGAGAACTGCCCCAACGGTGTCGTTGTCAACATGTCTCTGGGCGGTGAGACCTCCGATGCCGTCAACCAGGCTGCCAAGGCCATCGTTGATGCCGGTCTCTTCCTCGCTGTCGCAGCCGGTAACGACGGCAAGGATGCCTCTGGATCCTCTCCTGCTTCCGAGGAGAGCGCCTGCACTGTCGGTGCCACCACTAGCGACGACACTCTCGCCGACTACTCCAACTTCGGCTCCGTCGTTGATGTCCTCGCTCCCGGTACCGATATCCTCAGCACCTGGCCCAACGGCAAGACCAACACCATCTCCGGTACCTCTATGGCTTCGCCCCATGTCGCTGGTCTTGCCGCTTACTTCCTTGGTCTGGGACAGAAGGCTGAGGGTCTCTGCGATTACATTGCCTCCAAGGCCCTTGATGGAGTTATTTCCGGCGTGCCTTCTGGTACCGTTAACAAGCTTATCAACAACGGTATCGGTGGTGGCAGCAACAGCAGCAGCTTCCGCCACTAAATGTAGGCCAGCGGCCTTTCTCTTCTAAGTCCGATATTTGATCCGAATCTCGGTGAGATGGATACATATTTCTTTTCACTCCCTATCATGAGGTAGTTTCCTAGCTGTATGACTTGAAGCATTGAATAATAAAAGCATTTTTTCGGCCGACTTCTTGAACCTGCTTTGATCCGTGACTCTGCCTGCTCTATCTTAATCTGCTGACAAACCCGTTATTAGCTCGTGGCGCTTGCATCTTGATGGCTTTCAGGTGGCAATACGGCTTTCTGGTGATAGCTGAGCTGGCCTTGTTTCTGCTATATCATGAAGAGCAAAGAGGCGAATAAGGTCTCCAGTTGTGACTCGTATTCCTGATTCTGTAACTGCCACCGCAGGAACGACTACTGGTGAGGTCAAGAGCACCTCTGCAGAGGCGGCTACAACCATATCAACTGAGGAACCAAGTATAGCTGCCGAAAGTACCTTGGCAGAAGATCCGACAAGTGCTGGTCAATACCACGGTATATCCGGCGCCTTCAGACTCCGGTAAGCCAGGAAAAAGCCTTGTTGCAGCAACAGTAACAACGGTCAAGTACACTGTCGTTAATCCTTACAACCCTCCGTGTTGACTGTCAGTATCCCGAAACGGCATCGGTTGGAAATCATGTTGTGCCTGTCTTCAGCGGGACATTCACGATAATGTGAGTCTGCGGTGCTAGATGAATTTAACCCGTTTCTATTAGACCATGACAAGCCAAGGCAAAGACGACTAGTAGTCCGGGGCCTCTATTCGTATCTCAAACTAGAGATCGAGTTTTTCCCTGCCTTACTCTTTCCAGCCATCTCCAGCACCTAGAAACCAGTTGGCGGCCACAAGTCGTAGTCCATTCTTCTCAACAAACTTGGCAGTGTCGAAAGACCTTCTTTGCGTGAACTCTTCGCCTCCTACATCCTCCTTGGTAAGGTCAAGGCTGGCTGGTTGTCGGTACAGAAGAAGCAAGTATCTGTGCGGCTTAGAGCTGCATGGTCGTCAGCAAGTGAACACTGAGTATGTTGAGTCATCTTAACTTACTCATCCTTCGGGCCAGGGCCCAAGTATTCTGTGAGAGCAGGCTGCACTTGAGCCACCGCATCTCCACCACTCAAAGGCCTTAAGCCAGGGAGAACCCAGTGGCGCCAGAAGGCGAACTTGGGGTCATCTGGTGTTGGTGCGTCAGGGTCGACAAGCAAGAGCATGTAGGTTGCATCTCCAGGAGCATCAGGCTAAGCCTCGTCAGCACTGGAACAAAGTGCTTTTCGACATATGCACAGCTTACTTCTTGGTCAAACTGGATACTAGGAGCGCGCTTGCACTCAGTCGCGCGGAAGAGGTTCCCCAAGTCGACGTCCTTCCCATCGAACGAGACCTTGAGATTCGTCGTAGGCTTGAAGCCTTCGGGGATTAAGCTGGCAGCTGAACCGGGTACCAGCTTAGCCTCAGCTAGAGAGTTCGACAATGCGCTTGACATGATGAATGAAGTATCAGATTGCCTGATTTCGTCGTCAAGATAACGTTTGGTAGCTGAGTGTTTGAGGCTGGTTCGATGACGGTGTATTTGAATGGCTACCCCACGTTGGGGGTTTGTATGACGTTACATTTGACTGGTGGAAGAATATATGTGCATCACCGCCAACAGAACCGTGCCCCCAACATTGGCAGTCCGTCTGGAGCGGTAATAGCAATTAACTTTGGAATTAAACATTTTGACGCGTGAAATGCCGTTCTGACGTGAAGCAAGCTCCGGCAACGCGTGCGGCCCGGCTGCCCCACTCGTTAAGCTTATCAATGGCGAGGGGCTGGATGGCAATCAGACGATGACGCAATTACAGGCAGTATAGGGTAGCATTAACGGCCATCATCCTCCAAAATCTGCAATGGCAGAATACACTATATGGTAAATTCTAAGAGTAATAAGGCCTAATCTATATGCTAAATACGTCTTTTACATTCTTTTGTCTCTTCTCTATCTATGAAAAATGCTTAATTATGGTGAGCGTGGATATTGACGGACTTTCCCGTTTTCTCTTCATGTCATTGGAATTCCAAATTGGAACACTATGTTCGGTCTGCAGCATTCTGAGGAGAGAGAGATGCCCCGCTTACCCAATTCTTATTGGTTCAGATGATGATAGATAAGATAAGACAACGGAGATTACATCATAGTCACGTGAATTCGCGTGCGATCGCTGAAGTTACTGGCGCGACTGGCATGATGCGATCGAAGCATCAAGTCCGTGGTGCCAGGATGAGCTGATTACAAGGCTTTGACCAACGGCGCGCAAATTCTGCAACAAGTTCAACCTCACGATAATGACTACCTACATATCCTCTGTATGTTTCACTCTTTCAGCGACCCTACTTTCGCAGACACAACGCGACCGTAAGAAGATAGAGGAGCGTGTCAGGTCACCGACTGCACTTGATCTCGACACGATAGAGGAGCACTTGGGTATTTATGCCTGTGGTTTCATAACTGACCTCAAGAAACTAAGATCTCTCTCCCTATTTGCGGCAGTGTCTGCCTTCCATCGACAACCATCCTCCCAAGCCCGATCGTGATGCTCTTGCGAAAATGTCTACCAATATCGCGCTCCTCTCCCGAACCTCCTTCAAGCTTCCAGAGCCGAGTATATAGACGAAGACGTGGTCGCGACCGTGACCGACTTCTACCCGAAGAGATGCTCTGATCTGGACGCCATCCGATTCCACGACACCCTCCGACCGACACAATACTATACTTGCGAATCCCGAGATGACCTGATACATGCAGCGGACTGGTCCTATGCAGAGCCCGAAACCAGTATTTGATTCGCAGTCCGTTCGGTGAAGATTGTGTTGCACATCCGCGCGCACCGGACCCCGGAGCCCGTAAGAACATCGCAACTGATTGTGTGCTACTCTGCCTCAAACACCGCTTCCAAACCAACGAGTTTTATGCTTGAAGTACGTGAGATTCGCACTCTTGGGTTTCCGATCCCATGTCTGTGGAATTGCAATCTCATCCGGCGCCCGACCGGTACGCGGTTAACACATCACCCAACAATTGCTCGGAGTGGCTGCGCCTTACAAGCGACAGAGGAACGCTTGATGCAGAGAGCTCGGGCGTAATGATAAACCATTGCCCGAGTCCTTGATGCCTCCCAATGCGCTCTCCGATGGCAAACGGCCAGTCGTCTCTGTCTTCTGTCCTACGGTTGTTGTACACTCGCGCATCCGTAGGTGTTCGGGCAGCAAGGTGAAGTTCGAGTCCGAGATTTCGAAATGTCGCCCGATGCTGCTGCCACCAACCACCAATTGTCCAAGGGTCCGTAGGACCTTATTTCCCGAGCCCGAGCTTTACCAAATAAGAAGGCCGAGTCACGCGATACCGTTGGCCGACGGACTTGGTAGCCCGCCCAGAGACCGAGGCCTTCGGTGTTCGGTGGGGATATTGTCCGAGGAGACACATCGGTTGCCAACAGCTGGATGATACTGGGAAGTTGACCCATGGGATAACGGAAGTCTTTGCGACTGCACTGATGTGTCCTATGGCCCAAATGGAAGCTCGAGGTAGGTCAATGTCAACGTAGATCCACCTCTCGCGTGTCTTGAGTCGGAGTTCTCAAACCACTTTCCAACGGCCGACTTTGCTCAACTCATCACAATGAAGTCCGTTCCCAGCAGCGGGGAGGCAGTAATTAAAAAGGACAACTCGTGCGTGCGTGTATCTCTTTCTTCGTGATTCTTTCATCTCTCACACTTGGACTATCCTCAGAGGTACCTGGCACCCGCCTCTCGGCACCTTCATCGAACGGTAGATCCTGTCCGGCAGCTGGTCAATTCTCCGACAACGATGTGCTTTCGCCCTGTCGATGCAGTGCATCGCTCAGGCATTCCTCTCGTTAGAGTGGTCGAACTGGGGCTCCCAATGGGACCCTTGCGGTAAAGCCGTATACAGCGTTGTCTCTTTTGCTTATGGGTTCGAATCCTTGGGTCTCCCTCTTTTTGCCATGAGACGGAGTGCGAAGGCTAGAGCTATATATCCTGTGATTGGGAAGTGCTTGTTGGGGGACGGTGGTCGAGACATTCCTCTCGTTAGAGTGGTCTAGCGGTTATGCATATGTTAATATGCTGACAGTGTCCTTACAAAGTCGTGAAAAGATACGTCCTCTTTTTGCCCTTCGGTCACACGTTCGAGTGCTCAATCTTTTGTGATCTTGACATAGACGACACAGATTTGATTGAAGCCATATACACCATGATCTAATCACTGCTTCGTGGGGATCGTGGTTCAGACATTCCTCTCGATAGAGTGGTCAAGCGGCTTGAGTGATGCCCTGCCAACGTAAAGTTGTTTACAGCCTCGATTTCCTTTTGCTCATGCGTTCGAACATGTTGTTGACCCTTCTTTTTGGTCAATGGAAAGAGGTCATTGGGCTGCTCCTTGCTGATGCTCTGTCATACCCATAATGTCGTGATGGGACTCAGGTTGGCAGACCTCCGATCGACTTGCACTTGCCCAAAACAATACACTTCTGGCAAGGTTACTCAATAGTAAGTAGGCACATATACCCAAATCTAATCACTATTTGTGGAGTCGTGGTTCAGACATTCCTCTCGATAGAGTGGCCTAGCTGTTAAGGCCAGCGCGTAAGAGCAGTAACAGACTTGCAAAGTCGCATACAGCTGCGATTCCTTTTGCTCATGCGTTCGAAAATGTTGGATTTTTCTTTTTGGTCAATGGTAAACTGCTTCTTGCTGATGCTCTGTCACACACACTCATGTCGTGGTGGGACCTGGGTTGGCAGACCTCTAAGCGACTTGCATTGTCACGAAGCAATATACTTCTGGCTAGGTTCCTTGATGGCGCATGTATACCCAAATCTGAACACTGCTCGTGGAGTCGTGGCTCAGACATTCCTCTCGGTAGAGTGGTCTAGCTATTAGGCGCACAGAGCGCCTTCGGGGGCTTGGGAAGCTGCACTAACAGAGACTTGTAAAGTTGTATACAGCTGCGATTCCTTTTGCTCATGCGTTCGAGCGTGTTTGAGTTTTGGGATTTTCATTTAGAGGACAAGAGGTTATCACAATGCTGGACAGTGACGGTCATCAACATGCGCTGCTGTACACAAGGTAGCAGTTCACAGAGCAACATGGACCACAATCCATCCACGACAGAAGGAAACCTTCGCCGGGGGCTTGCCATATACACCGCAATCTGATCAATGCTGTCGGGGTTGGGTTCAGACATTCCTCTCGATAGAGTGGTCTAGCGGCAGATGCGACATAGCCTCCTGCTATGTCCCTTCCTAGCTTTAAAGTCGTTTACAGCCCTTCCTCTTTTGCCCGCGCGTTCGAATGTCTTTTTATTTTTTTGGAATTTCCATTTGCGCGATACAGGTTGTTATGTTGACAGTATATATACCCCAAGTTGCGCAATGTTTGACAGAGGAAGGGTTCAGACATTCCGCTCGCTAGAGTGGTCTGGTCGAGTGGCGTAGCCGTGTAGCCATTGCGTGAAAGGGATAATCGCACTAACACTCATTACACCTGTAAAGTTGCTTACAGCTCTTCCTCTTTTCTTCGCGCGTTCGAATGCGTTGATCTTTTGGAATTTCGGTCTGAAGAGATGAGGTTGTCGTCGCAGTGCTTGACAGTGCCGCTCGCGGTGGGTCGGGAGGTGGCAGACCACTTAGCGACTACAGTCGGGTCAGTCGCCTGTAGCTGGAGGTCAACGCTCGCTAGAGTGGTTTGGCAGTGCAACTTTAAATCCAGCGCGAACAATAAGGGATTGGAAATACTCTTGTGTCTAATGAACGAAATTCAAAAGGAAAACTAGATGATAACCAGTCGCTTTTCCTTACCTATCATCCTTTTCTTTCCTCCTCAATTGCTGTCTTGCGTCGTTGCGAATTAATTTACTGGGCACAGAGCTTAGTGATGCGTGTATTTCGATTGGCTACGGCCTACCCGCTGGCATTGTCTCATGAGGTGCGAGCTGAGGTTGCAAGTGGTGATTGATTGCCAACAGTTGACAGAGAACTAGGTAGGTATCTATAAGGTGCCCTGTTTCAATCGTACGCGCGTTTGTGTTGCGCTGCCCGGAGTCGAGAGTCAGCAAAGAGGGGACCATGAGCCCCTCATGTATGCAGACAGTAAATTAAAATGTTGGATGGTCGCTAGGCCTGGCCCTCCTCGGAGGTACTGGTCAAAGATGCGATCATCCACCTCCATTTATTTTTGCACTTTGAAGGTCTTGAGTTCAATTCCTCATCAGTCGGAGACTTTTCATCAGCGGCTCGGCGTCAATGTCGTGGATGATGCGTCTAGACAATCCGACCGGAGGCTTGAAGGAACCACTGACGACGCAGGTACCGCACACCTGGAACAATTGATTCCATCTGTTGCAGAATGGAAATTGATTCCAAATGTAAGCGGGGCCCATGATTGGCTTGCGATTCTCGGGTCGTGGTGGAACTCGATCATCTCTGATCATTTGGAATCTATTGCGCTTCATTGGCAAATTGAACATCCCTGAAGCGGATTTTCACGCCGGCTTTAAGAGGCAATTGAGCAATTCATGCATTAGGAAGTAACAGCGATCGTTGCTACGCAGTAGGTTCACGTCAAGTCGTAATGCGACGATGGAATTGCCTCACTTTTATTGCTGTGTTAGGAAGAAACGAATTGCGATGGTGAAGTTGACCCCGCTCTTTGGCCTGCCAATTTTAGACCGTGTTGTGTTTGGCGGGAGGAAACCCGCAGTGGTACTGTAGCTGATCAAGGCAGGGAGCTCTCCCCTGTTTCTCTCCAGAAGCTCAGGCGGGGTGAAATGGGCTGGTCTACGACGAAACGGGCTGCTAACACGCAGAGAAATCGGGTTGCTGTGGTGTTTGTTTTGCGGGGCCGGCCCAGTAAGAGCCGGTACTAAACCGATCACGGGGGGCCCATGCCTCCGTTGTCATGATGCTCTATGAAAGGTTATTCAGTGGCAATCAGCAATCGAGTATGGATTCATGATGGAGAGGATGAGATGATTCCATGATTGTATTTCTAGACAATTCTATAGAGACTGATTCCTCAAATAAGGCCCGATGTCTCTCCCCGACACCCAAGTCTTCAGGGCAATGATCGTTACGAGCCTTGGTTACACCAGTTGCTGAGTTTGGACAGCTTCCCCGCACTTGCGATGGGCTACAGTGCGTCATGCAGTTAACTTTTGTTGACAAATCCGGCATAAGTTTCCGATGATACTTGTACAATAGTTTGACGAGATTCCGAGCGTGATCCGGGGAGACCGTGTCGCCTCTAAAAAGAGTCCACTCACAGTCGTTCCTTTTCCAATCCACGTCCCTCGCGTTACGGTATAAATGCCAAACTCCACCCCCGCATCTCCTCCATGCCTCGGTTTCTCTTCCCTTCCTCTCGCATTCTGTCCTTGTCTGTAGCGAGGAGGACTCTGAATCTGAACCAACAACACTTCAGGCTATCGCTTCATACTTCAGCTCCCAAAATGGCCGACGAGAGAAAGTGTCCCGTGGCCCACAAGGTCCCCAACGTCGCTGGTCACGGCGTTACCCATCAGAAGTGGTGGCCCGAGGCCCTCAAGACCAACATTCTTCGTCAGCACAGCGCCGTCACCAACCCCTACGGCGAGAACTTCAACTACGCCGAGGCTTTCAACTCTATTGACTACAACGAGCTCAAGGAGGATCTGCGAAAGGTCTGCCGCGATTCGCAGGACTGGTGGCCTGCTGATTTCGGCCACTATGGTGGTCTCTTTGTCCGTATGTCGTGGCACGCTGTTGGAACATACCGTGTCTTCGATGGTCGAGGTGGCGGCCGACAGGTAAGAAATCCATTACACCCTCTCCCTGCCTCTCTCAATTGCGCACAAGTCTAACAGCGTCATAGGGTCAGCAAAGATTCGCCCCCCTCAATTCTTGGCCCGATAACGTTTCCCTCGACAAGGCCCGCCGCCTTCTCTGGCCCGTCAAGCAAAAGTACGGCAACAAGGTCTCATGGGCCGATCTGATCGTCATGGCTGGCAACGTCGCCCTCGAGGATATGGGCTTCAAGACCATTGGCTTCGCCGCTGGTCGTCCCGATACTTGGGAGGCTGACGAGGCTACCTACTACGGTGGCGAGGATACTTGGCTCGGAAACGATGTCCGTTACTCTGATGGCCACCCCGGAACCTCCAAGCCTGGCGCTACCGATTCCGATCAGGCTCCCCACAAGAACATCCACAACCGCGAGCTTGAGAAGCCACTGGCTGCTGCTCACCACGGTCTCATTTACGTCAACCCTGGTTAGTACTCCCCAAAGCCAATGCGCCATGCGCAGTCACTGACTTGATTGCAGAGGGTCCTGATGGCAACCCCGATCCCGTCGCCGCTGCCCGCGACATCCGCGAGACCTTCGGTCGCATGGCTATGAACGACGAGGAGACCGTTGCCCTCATCGCCGGTGGTCACACCGTCGGAAAGACCCACGGCGCTGGCTCAACCGACCACGTCGGCCCCGAGCCCGAGGCTGCTGACCTCGCCCAGCAGGGTCTCGGCTGGTCCAACAGCTACAAGACCGGCAAGGGTCCTCACACAACCACCTCCGGTCTCGAGGTTACCTGGACCAGCACTCCCGTCAAGTGGAGCCATGACTACCTCAAGTATCTCTTCCAGTTCGAGTGGGAGCTCACAAAGAGCCCTGCTGGCGCTCACCAGTGGGTTGCCAAGGATGCCAACGCCACTGTTCCTGATGCCTTCGACCCCAACAAGAAGCAGAAGCCTACCATGTTGACCACCGATTTGTCTCTGCGATTCGACCCTGAGTACGAGAAGATTTCTCGACGCTTCCTCGAGAACCCAGACCAGTTCAACGAGGCTTTCGCCAAGGCCTGGTTCAAGCTCACTCACCGTGACATGGGTCCCCGCGACCGATACCTCGGCCCTGAGGTTCCCAAGGAGGTCTTCCTCTGGCAAGACCCTGTCCCCGAGCGTGACTACAAGCTCGTCGACGACGGCGATATCTCCGCCATCAAGAACGAGATCCTCAAGTCTGGTGTTGACGTCTCCAAGCTGGTCTCTACCGCTTGGGCCTCCGCCTCCACCTTCCGAGGCAGTGATCTCCGCGGTGGTGCCAACGGCGCCCGTATCCGCCTTCAGCCCCAGAAGGACTGGGAGGTCAACAACCCCGCTCAATTGAGCAAGGTCCTCAGCACTCTCGAGGGCATCCAGAAGAAGTTCAACGACTCTCAGTCCAGCGGCAAGGCCATCTCTCTTGCCGATGTTATTGTTCTTGCCGGTTCCGCCGCTGTTGAGAAGGCTGCTAAGGATGCCGGTGTTAACATCACCGTGCCCTTCGTGCCCGGCCGCACCGACGCTACACAGGAGCAGACCGACGCCAAGTCCGTCGACCACCTTAAGCCTTTCGCCGATGGTTTCCGTAACTACGGCTCTTCTACAGACCGCGTCAAGCTTGAGCACCAGCTCATTGACCGCGCTCAACTCCTCACCCTCAGCGTCCCTGAGCTTACTGCTCTCATTGGTGGTCTCCGTGCCCTCAACACCAACTATGACGGCTCATCGCATGGTATCTTCACCAACCGTCCTGGTGTTCTGACCAACGACTTCTTCGTCAACCTGCTCGACATGAGCACTGAGTGGAAGGCCGTCGGAAACGGTGACATCTTCGAGGGTACTGATCGCAAGACCGGCGCCAAGAAGTGGACCGGCACCCGCGTCGATCTTGTCTTTGGCTCTCACGCTGAGCTCCGTGCTACAGCTGAGACATATGCTGAGGCTGGTGGACAAGAGAAGCTTGTCAAGGACTTTGTTGCTGCTTGGACCAAGGTGATGAACCTGGACCGATTTGATGTTGCCAACGGTTCTTCGCCCAAGGCTTCTCCTCGACTGTAATTAATGAGCAATGTAGCAAAATACCATTGAGAATGAATGATTACGAATTTTACTAGTTAATTGTATTTGTCCTCTACTTTCTTTCTAGTAATTTACTTTGTCATTGTATGCATCGATCAAATGATTTTGGCTTTATCCAACTCGACCAAAGTTCGTGATGGCGGGGTAGCGACGAGCCTCGGCCCGGAACTCGATCGGAGCTTACAATACAATGGCTCCGATAGGCCCTCACAATTCTTGGCCAAATGGCACCATTTGTGCGACATCTGCAGTCCAAAGTCATGCCTTAGGAAGTTTACCGAATGCGCGAATGGCCTGACTATGATGTATTACGTTACTGGTTTACGGCGCATTTGCTGGTACCCTCTTCAGCTGAAGCTGTCCTCGGATCTGATACCGTGCGCCGGCCCCACTACCGGGTGACCGCTCGAGCGTTCCGATCATGTGAAGTGTCGTTCCGATGAGGCTGGACTACAAGTCATAGATGAACGACCAAGATGGCAATCAAAGCCAAGCCTGTAAACTCACACACACACAAGTGGAAGAGAATTGGATTATAACGCTGGAAGATCTGCATATATCAGCAATCTTCACAACAGCTTGGCGCATCTGCCCAATGGTAGATTTTAAGGTCTCCAGCTTCCAATTATTCCACTTCTCCTGCTCTTACGAGCTCCATGCCTTAAGAAGATAAACACGCACATAATACAGTTAAATTCGTCTTACTAAACTAAGGCCAAGTTCTGCTTTTCTCTTCTCAGCTAGGCAGCGCTCTCGCCCTATCTTCTTTGACGATTATGCCTCTTCGATGCTTCTCTGTAGACGTATCCGTTTCTAATGGGAGAAGTATCCAGAATTAGGAATAGGTGCTCTATCCAGCTTGAAGTATCCAGGCTGCAGCTTCTGAAACACTTGTTGAGGATCATACTTCTTTGCAATGCTCTTCAGCTTAGCCTTATTGCCTGACCCGTAGCTTGCAATGACATCCTGGTACTGACTTGCGTAGTTCATGTAAACGTAGCCGTTGTTGACCCCACGAGCTTTGGCCTCCTTGGTTACTACCTGGAAGATATCAGAGATCCAGCTGTAGATGGCGTCGTCGTCAGACTTATTATTCCACATAACGGAGAGCTGCAAAATTAATAGAGGTCCTCCCTCAGGATCGATACCAAGGGCGTTGCCTCCATTCTTCTGCATCTGCTTGAGCTGGGGAGTAGTGATGCCTTGAACCACAAAAGCAGGTATAATGCCAGAAATATCAGCAACCGTAAGAACAGTCTTGTAAAAGTAATCCCTTGTGTATTCCAGGATGCCGTGATCGAGCTTGGTAGTAATAACGTAGTAGACCTCGCGAAGTCCCGGGGGGCTGTCACTCATGATCTCCTTGCCCCACGCGGCGAGAACTCTGTTCTGCGTGGTATCAGAGACGGCCTCAATTTTGTTGAAGTCCTTCCATATAGTAGCGTTTCCGGCGTCAGGCTCGGCGTAGTACATAGTGGGCATAGACAGTTTGTTGCCTTCATAATAGATCCAAGGGACGTAGATTCCTGCCTTAAGGTCATTCGCGGAGTTCTTTAGGATATTGAACAGTGCGTCTGTGACTTCGGCAAACCTGTCTTCTGTATAGACGCGGGATCCACCCCACATCTCGCTCTTGGGAAGGGGTATGGTCTTGAGGTTGAACTTGACAACAAGACCGAAGTTGTTACCGCCTCCGCGAAGAGCCCAGTAGAGGTCAGGGTATAATGTGGCGCTGGCTTTGACTATTATGCCATTGGCGAGTACCAACTTGTAGATTGGTTAGCTTGGAGGACTAGGCAACTGACTGGGCTGGCATAGTTACCTCGTAGCTCTCAACATTATCGCAAGCCCAGCCATAAATATTTGAGAAGAATGAGATACCACCTTCGCCAAATTAGTCATGAATTATGTCGGAAAGGTAGTTGCATTTACCTCCCGTAGTCAATCCTCCAACGCCGATGTTATAGAGTCGCCCTCCAATAACACTGACATCAGACTTCGCCAACTGCTCATACACGGGCCCCCAGGTGTTTCCAGGCTCAATCGAAGCAATCTTCTTATCTTGAGACAGAGAGACACCTTTCAAGTTAGCGAACGAAATGGTAATGCCATCCTCAACGGATGAAGCTCCAGCAAAGGCTGCGTGGCCGCCACTCTTGGCAGCGAAAGGACACTTTGTCAATCGAGCCAACAGTACAGTTACAGAAACTTGACTCGGCCGCTGAGGAATGAAGATACAGTAAGGATTGACCTCTGCCTGGTTTGAAGACCAGTACGAGCTTGTGAAGTCCCCGAAGGCCTTTTCTTCCCTCGTCTCAACAGTGGCATCACCGTAGAGTATCTTCAGAGAGGCGCACTATTTTGCTTCAGCCACATGACGGTTATGAGACTCCGGTTTACATACAGCAGCAACGCAACCAGTGCCAGATCGTTTTGCATCGTCCGTGGATACAGGAAGCTCTAATACGTCAACACCTTGGTCAAGAAGGGCTTGAGTGATGTTGAAGTCCTTGGTTTCAAGCAGAGAATCGGTGGCGCTTGATTTAGCAACCAAGAAAGCTGCAACAACCAGTGAAGTACACCACATGATGACCCAAATTGGCGAGCGATGGCAAATTGGGAGATGACAAAGAGGATATTCGAGGGAAGATTTATTGGTTTTGTATCACATTGAGGCATTTCCAGGCGAGTACGTGAGTTGGCAAAGGGGTGTGGATTGTTCATGTTAAGAGATTGATTCGTGGAAGGGGACGCATAAGTATGCAGAATCCCCACTCTCTGGTGTAAAAGCAATAAAAATTATCTTTTCTTCTACGTATAACGAAGTGTGTTGGTCGCTTGCATCTTGTCAAAAGGGATGGCTTGGCTGCAGCCAAGTGGCGTAAATGCTGTTGGTCCTGGGATCGTCAAGGATATCATGCAAGAAACAGCCCATAACTCTTGAAGAATCTTGGCAAGGGCCACCAGTAAAGTTATTTTATTACTTCGTATGCCATAGCTATTAAGTACGAAGGTGTGATGAATAGTAACCAAGTCACATCCCCACCAAGTTCATCAAGCGTCTCGACTATCGAAGACTCAGCGGGATGTTACTTGGCTAACTGGTCCCATATGCATGTCCATGCGGACGGGAAAGCTTCCGACGAACCAGATCCTAGTTCTCATCCTTGGATACTCCGCTACCCGGTCTATCGAACTTTAATTCGTAGGGAGCTCCATCCATCTGCCAAGCTCTTCAGCAACTCTTCACCCCGTGTCCCAATCCTTGACACTAACACGAAAATACTCCTGGCATGTGATTGGTAGCAAGACCGATCCTATAACCAGGGTACCGTAATGGCTTGATCAGCTGAAAGAAACATGGTGCAGTCTGCCAATGTGGCTGTTGGTTGCTGCACTGGAAGACGCTCAGCTGTCGTCGTCCCTCTGTGATCAGGCCGTTCAATCTTTTTGCTTGTTTAGCTCCAGTCTGCTTCCAAGCACGAGTACCCTCATTCTTCTCTGGCAATCGTCATGGTGAAAACAAAAGCTTCTAGATCTTCGATTCGAAATACAGAGGATTGCCTTGATCATTGTTGCTTCAATTGGCCGCCGCCTTTTGAATCTCTTGTGATCATCCACCATAAAACTTTTCGGGTTGAAGATGCGTGGTTAGCTTCCTGTTACATCTTACTTCTCGTTCTCGCGATCCTTTGCCTCTTAATTGTGCCCGCATTCTTTCGGTTGACGGATCTCGTTGAAGGGACTATAGAGCCTTACGCGACAGCCAACAATGAAGGTCGTTTGTACTGGAGGGAATACGCAGACAGCATGAGTTGAGCAAAGTCAGGATATTCGGTGGATCGGAAGGCTCGATGTGTTGAAGACAGTGAATTGGTCGTGTGGAGGCACATTGTGGGAATTATATCGGCAACGGTGAGTGTTTTCATTTTTGAAGTGAGGTAATGAGCGCTTCGTCCTCAAACCTCAAGACGGTGGAATCTGCGAGATGAACGGTGAAGTTGGCACAATCCCGAACTTTGATGTTAGCCAGCCGAGAAAAGCTTTTAGGAGCTGCATCCTCTGACGAACTGTGATACTTTTTGAACAGGATCAAGTTGCACATTGCGCTGACTCCGCGTACGCTTCGATGTCGAGAGAGGCTGCGTATTTTTGTGCGACCGCTAGATTTCCAAGTAGCAAAAACAAGAGAAGAGGGAATGAGTAGCAAAACGGAGAATCTGAGGCAGTGATATATAATAAATCATATTGTCCTCAGGTGCCTGGAAATGCCGGCCACTGCCTCGCGGGTCATGAGATGGTAAGCAACCAAAAACGATCGTTGAGGAGTAAGGAGGGACTAAAGGCCAATTTGTAATCACTTGTGTTCTAAGCCCTTCAGACCTCTACACACTGTGCCAGCCATACTTATCTATGGACTGCTTCGCAAATCCCTGCGGACAAACTGACCATTATTCAGAAACACACAACTCAATGAGACTGTGCCACAGTCTTCACGGCTGTTCAAATCTGGAAGAGACTGATCTGTCTCAAAAACTCCTTAGTAGTATGCCACTCTAAGATCGGCAGCTTACAGCCCGATCCATGGTGTTGGACCCTGACGGGCGGCACATCGGCGGCATCAGCGGCACACGTACCTATTCAGCTTAGATAGAAGAAACAAGGACCGAACAATAGCTTCGTAGGGCAAAGAACTGGGATGAAATCTGTAGAAATGCGGCCCGCAAGAGTCAGCGCGTTTTCGGAATGCTCAGTAATCAGGTCCCATCCACTCTAAAATTAGAACAAAAACAAACGCCCAGTGTCTCAACCACATTCGACAACAGTAATAATACCCCGGAAGCTATGGACCCGGGGAACTGAGAAATCGGAGCAGGGCGTTATACTGAGGGTAAGAATTTTCCCAGCGATGGGACGAAGTGAGAGGCTGAGTTTCTGACATCGCAGGGATTCTTTGTCGAAACTACTCAAAATCCGGGACCGTGCTTTTCGTGAGCAAGGCGGGCTTTGACTTGATTCATGAGATCGCGACGATTGAATTTGTATAAATTATCCATTTCGAGCTCTCACACGTTCATATCGCTGGCATCTTCGTTTGCAAATTAGTCTTTCTCTTTATTACTCACTCGCTTCTGCACTCTCGACAAACACTATACATAAACATCCTCCAAAACTTCACGAGATGATCATTGGCCGCGTTATTGGCGTACTTCTGCCATTCGCCCTGGCTATTGCAGCTGCCATCTTCACCCTCGTTCCCGCACTCGCAGGCATCACCGACAAATCTCTGTACCTCATTCAACTCGACTTCGAGAATCTTAGCATTAGCCCTGCAAGTGATCTTGTCGACAAGATCTTACTACGAGCCGAGACAGTCGAAAAGAATATCACTGCCGAACTCCTTGGGCTTGGCAAGACCTACGATATCACGCTCTGGGGATACTGTCATACTGATACAGATGATAAGCGAGAGTGCTCAAGTCCCAAGTTTGATTGGGTCCGAAAGACTCTATCCACAAACCGCATCAAGAGTGTTGATAAGGATGTCGAGGTCAAACTACCGAAAGAGATCAACGCTGCTATCCAAACCTTTAGATCGATGACGAAAGGAGCTGAAGTTGCTTTCATTGTGGCTTTGATAGAGCTGGCCATCGAGATTGCTCTTGGTATCTTTGCCGTTTGCTCTCGCGAGCTCACCTGCTGGACATGGATGGCAAGTGGCCTTGCTTCCGCGTTTGTCCTCGCGTCAGCCATTCTCTCGACCATCATGGCCTCCGTCTCGATTGGTGCCGTGGAAACCACTGCGAAGCTTTATGGAGTCAAGGGAAATGTCAACGTCGTTTTCCTCGCCATCATTTGGATTGGCGCGGCATTTGCTATCGCTGCAAACCTCCTCTGGATAATACCAACTCTCTGCTGCAGCACAACGACCAATCGAAAGGACCCTGAAGGCAAAGGACTACTTGAGCGTAGTCACCACTCTGGAGCCTATGCACCTATTGATGATGATCACGAGATGCACCCTACATATCATAATCGTGGTCTGGCGCCATCTCTCCGGACGGATCTTGCCTATGAACCATACAGCCACCAGGTTTAAGGGCATGAATCAGACGGAAAAGCCGTGGGTGTTGCGTTAGATGTTCAGTCTGATTGTAACTGGTAAGGGGGACGCACCAAAGACACCTTCTTATACCCGTAAGCCGAATGAGTCACACTCTAGGTTTTCTATTTATCAGCCTTACGCCGTAGCAACTGGGCAGGCGTTTTGGTTCAATGTTTAAGTTGTGAGCTAGATGTGTTATTTGCAGGAGACTTGTGGCTGAGAGCTTAAATCAGCAGAGAAAACTTAGTACCTTGTGAGGGTGTTCGGTGATAGGATCCTGCAACAGATTGAGGAGATAACTGTCCATTTAGAATTTCATATAAACTTTTAAACCAAAGCATTTGCTAGACTTTGAAAAGCACCAGACCGCAATAATTAAGACTAAACACGCATTCCTCTCTGTTCGTAGTAAGCATGCATGAGGCTTTATTTTGAGATTTAGGTGAGATAAATTCCAAGCCCTCCGCACTCCACAGCACAAGCCTATCATTTGTGTAAAGTTGTTACGAAAACTATTAGCAAACTCCAGTATGCCATCTATCACAGGCTTACCATAGACACCAGAAACCTCCATGCAGATATCCGATCTTGTTGCACTTGCAAAGACAACATGGACATCCACTGGCACAAGTGTTTACAGCGTGATAGTTTGCCCCAGCGCTGTTCAATTTGAGTCGCCAACAAAATGGAGCCTTGCAGACCGAAAGACTACAATGGGACCAACCGATTTCAGGGTAGTGTGATGACCATGTCAGGGGTAGCCGGACTTCATCAGTAAGCGGAGTGATGACAGTTACTGGAGTCGGAGACATTATTCAGCGCTACAGACCAGAGATTTGCCATAAAGATGACCCAGAGCGCGTAGAGAAATGTTGTCTCAGGGATGAATGAGAATTATCGATTTGCTGGTAGTCGCGCGACTGGCCATGAAAGGTGGAAGGAAAATGAGCTCTACTGACATGATGCCTTCGACAAGCTTCCACCGATTATACAAGTCCGTTACGGTGTCTCAGTGATCAACTAGCCAAATTATACACGTGGGCCCCATAAGCGGGAACGCGTTGAGGATGCCTTCACATATTTGTATTTGCAAAAGTTTGTGGCTGCTGTCACCTTCATGACGGACTTGGCCCAGATGTAATGGAATATCACCGAGGCTTTACCAAAACGTCTCTGACTGACAACCAGACCCTTTGGTTTAAGTTTTTAATTACTTGGCATTGCAGAAGCTTCTTTCACTCTTATTATCTTTAACCTGCTCGTTCTACCCCAGCACCATGAAGACCACCTTGTTTGCCTCATTGGCTGGGAGGTAATATCAAGATGACTGACTTGGAGTCCATGAAATGATCTTGGACTAGTAGACATCCATGAGAAATGCATAGATTACAAATATAAAAGAATATTAGAGGGGTGCTCAGTTGTTTAAAAAGTTTTCTTTCTTTGCCCATTTTGCCTTAAAGTTGAAGTTAATTGGGACATTTTAGTGTATTGGCTTGATATGTTTCATGCTATCAGCTCTAACTATTGAAAGTAAGTTGTGAGTAAGGAGCTGCCAAATTGTCTTAAAATACGTGTTCTTAACGCATAACTGATGAAATACCCCTTTTCCTTGGTTCTTTAATTCTTCATGTCTTTGATCTGACACGTGCTCCTGAAGCTGAGGCATCTCGATGACAATAAGCCCTAAAATCCTTCGCATATCACTGTTGCCGCTCTAAATGCAGATCTGCCCTGACTATGCCTTGCCAATCCCCGCTTCGTGTCTTAAGTTGGCAAAGAGTATTTCAGCTACTGACCTTGCTTCCTCTTGTTATCCAATCAAAAATTGGCAAACCCTCAATCCCCTGATCCCGAATCCCCAGCCGAGTCACCATGCGCGACAATATTCCGATAGCATTACGTAGTCAGTGGAGATATTAACAGCGGACTTCCACTTTTGAAGTAACGATAACCGAACATCTTGGCATATTTGCCAAGCTCAATGGCTACTGACACTGGATTTGGTGGTTGATCGGCAAATTTTGCTGTCAGCTCAGCCGCGAGGCCTAGATACTCTTTGTGGGGTAAAGAGGAGCAAACCCCGACACATTCCTTACGGATAGCATTAGGCAGTAAGTACACCTCGTCGAAGGATTCGAAATGCGACATTAACTCGTTCGATGTGATGTCATTCATGCGGTATGGCAAGTGAGTTGGCCGGAGACTCGAGCTTGGGAATGACTGAGTGCAACTCTCGAGAACAGTGAAAGGGCTACGTATATATATAAGTCGCAGTCCATCTTTCAATGTCTCTTATCAACCAAAACCATTGTTCAGTATTCACAACCCCATCAAATCAGACGCTCTCCAACCGTGTATCAACATGCCTTCTCCCCGTAATATTCTCTTCGGCCTTTTGGCCGCCTCACTTTCGTCCACCGTCACAGCCGAGCATCTTCGCGTTGTATGGTCCCAAGGCGACTTCTCAACTATCTCCGGACCAAGTGGCGGAAGCCAAAGCGGCCACAGCTCCGGCTTCACTATCCTCAAAGACGACGGTACTGCCATCTACAGCAAGGCATACCCAGCTGACCACTCTCCTTGCTACAACACCGGCGATGGACGCGAATTCACTTTCGGCGGAGATTGCTGGACCAAAGAGCGCAAGTTCCGCTGCAAGTCCTCGTTCGCTGGTGACCCCGAATCATGCGAGGTCAAGGACCAGGATGGAAACAGTCTTGGTACTGGAGAGGGCAAGACTGACACGACCTTCATTGGCATTGCTATCGCGCAAGACTCTGCGTGTGTTGTTGAGTTCAATACCGATGTCGATGAAAATTGCCCCAAGGATGAGGACAACAACTTGGGTGTTAGATCTGGTTAGCTGTCATCAGTCGCCAAGGGGGACGATCAGAAAGCAGCGAGGATATTGAGGTGAAATGATGCTTTGTATAAATATGTGTCCCCCACATTCTTGTCAGAGCCCAGAGTTTGTTGCCACTCAATCTGCTAGGCCAAGTAGAGTCAAATGAGTTGGGCCCCCTATCTCCCATAGGATTTATGCAAATATCCTCTGCATTTTAATTACCATGTCAAGAAACCTCGCCACCTCATAAGGTGATAGTCGCCAATGAAAACCATCATGGAGCCCACGCGAACCCCCAAGGGGTATACATGGTTCTGATACAGTTGTTAGAAGTTTCGAGAAACAACTGTCGAGAAGGTCAACATATAGGTACTGTTAGCTTCCGAATGCATTCCAAAGCTTTTGGGCTCTTCAGATGGCGCAACGTTGCTCCCAGAACGAGCCAATTACTGTCCACTAAGATTAAACGTAGACCAAGTCATTTTGCCCCATCGCACTACAAGACTTTTGGGTCACATGTAAACGGCCACGTATGCTGAAGGCTATGTGCCAGGGACTTTCGATTGACTGAACAATACCTTGTTAATGCTGAAGATGATGAGTGAGTTGAATTATTCACTTTCTTGGTTACCCTTGAAATGATTTGCAGAGATATTAATAAAGTTCAAGAAACTGAGCGAGCTCGCCTTCGAATAATTTATCGCAAAGTCTTTTAGTATGTGAGTGTACTATATATACCCTACACATCTACCTCTTTCTCTTATTCCCTTCCTTTCTTATCATCGTTATTATAGCTAAAGAAAGCCATGAAACTAGCCCAACATATCCAGAAAGACCTTCGCCTAGACAAATCTACTGAAATACCATTGTCCACTGAACAGTCAGTCAACCCTACAACCCCTCTACCTTTCCAATACTCTTGCAGGATACTGACATTCTATAGCCAACAACTAGTTTTGACTACTGTCTACATAATAATATGTGGGCAAAGGATCGCGATTCTTCAGACGGGAGTCCGCCCCCGTCACATGACGGGGACCCGGCAGATGAGGCAGGTATCTGGGAAGATGAGGGTATTTCGGGGTTGCATGGATCGGCTCCAAGTGTCCAGATGGACTACCCATCTGGGTTTACCTGTGATCAAGGACGTCCTATCGATATGCATGGCCAGCTCGGAGCGGTCCCGTATGGCCATGCACTCAACACCCCATTGTTTCCCCAGCACGCCCCATTGGTCTACCCAACACCATCCTATACCCCGATCTACCCGGCACAGCTCGATTCAAAATCAGATGTATCTGAGAATGAGCCAGATCAGTCGCTTAATGACAACCCGCAAGTAAAAACAGAAGACCAAAACTACATCAATACTTTTGATCTCATCTTCAAAGAAAACCGAGAATTGCGCTTGGCAGATGTTCAGCTTCAGAACGAAATAAGAACGGGGCTCAACAGCCAGAGTGCCATGCTCTCCCAGTCCTGGGTTGCTGTCCAGAAGCAACTGAGACGAAGTCGCAAGTATTGCGAAGCAACCAAGAAGAAGCTCGAAAAGCTGGAAAGTCGTCATCACGACCGTCAGGACGAGATCAAAGAACTCGGTCAGCTCCTGATGAAGAAACAAAAGAAGCTCACAAGGAAGTTCAACAGGAAACTCAAAAGAAAGCTCAGACATTGCTGACAAAAACAAGGGCTCAGTTCAAATCACGCGGCGTTTGCAGTCCTGCCACAAACGTAGGACTTCAAACGTGATTCCAATTTAAATAATGGCTTTGGGTTTTGGAATCAGAGAATTTTATAAGAGGTTGATCAGACAGTTGGCGTTGGGATGGAGCCGGAGTTTCTAATTTAGCATGTACGAATACTTATAACGATTTCCTTGCCGAGTCTTTTTTAAATACGACCTTATTTTGTGAGAGGAAAGCTCCTCCAGGCTCCGAAATTTAAAGAATAGCCAAAATGTGATGTTGTTAAGGTTTTGCCTGACTGAAATCAACATTCGTGTTGGAAGTCTAATCTGAGGGCGAGTGTTTAAGGGTAGCTTAGCGAAAGTCTAAGCCCTTCCCTTCTTGGCATGATTCGTTAGGAGCCACTGCAACAAAAATGCGTGAATGTTAGCATAACTGTCTAAGAATATTGATTAAAGAAGAGAGAGCCTATTTAATTCTTGTTTCAATAACGTGCATGATAAGCGAGTGCTCCAGACAAGCGAGTGCTCCAAAAATCCCTCAACCTACACTATCACTTTTCAATCAGATATTTCTCAACAATCCAATATGCCAGAGTCTCCAAATGAAGCTAAGATTATTCTTGCCCTTCAGGCCCTCCAGAATGACCCAAAATTAAGTCTTAGAAAGGCCGCAGCTATATATCATGTTGACCGCTTTGCCTTAAGTCGCCG